ACAGCAAGTGGTCACATAGGACATCTCATCCAGCCCTACATTCCTGAATTCCATATGCATGAAGAGTGACAAAAATAATGAAATAAGATGAAGAATAGTTTCTGAAAGATAATAAAGAGGGAGAGAAAAAAGGAAAGAAACTTATGGGTATTGGCAAACAAATCCCAGGGGGTTATGAAAAGGGAAGCATTCTTCCTTGAAAACTTCATGACTTCCTTGTGGAAGATCACAGCATTGTGTCAATGTGCCCTGATGTCACAACCTTTAATACCCCTCATTTCACAGCACAATTTCATTATGACAGTGCTGAAAGCATTATGCCTCCAGCAAAATAACAATAGGATGCTTTACACAGTCTGTGCCATGAGATGTCAAGTAACAGATGATCCAATGCAAGGCCTTTCTACCACTTGGCCATATCATCACAAGCAGAGGCAATTTGAAGCACAGTGCATGGGCAAATATATGACTTTAAAACAACAAATTTATTTGTGTGCAACACTTTGTGTTTTAGATCCTAGGGGTTTTTCAAAACCTCTAATGGTCTTTAATTTCACACATTGTTAGGTCTAATTAATGGTATTTGGACTGCTCATAGTGATGGTGTTCTTATTTATTAGAAATAATTGAAAAGTTAATTGAGCTCTGCATTCATAGTTTTGTGTTTTAAATAACAATTTTAATTCTTCCTTTTGTTATATTAATCTATTAAAAATCTTACTAAAATCAAGAGTAAAAGAAAGACAATGGAAGAGGTGGCAAAGGTAACCAAACAGATCTGTTTCCAAACAGATGGGTGTTTCCTCAAGGATGGGACCTCTCAGGTACAGAGCCCTTAATGAAATTCTTTTATCACTGCTGACCCTCAGTGTTCAGGCCCCATCAGCCACACATCAGAGCCCAGAGCAGGAGTGCATCAAATTAAACTGCTCTAGAGCAAGACAGAAAGGAAAGTACTGTCTTGATTTCAACCTCTTCCTCTTCATGGGCCTTTTTCATCATTGTTCTTAAGTCACTGCATCATTTTGAAGTTTATTTCAGAGGGAAAATAATCACAAAATCATATGACTGAAGTTGCAAGAGGGTATGACAGCAATGTAAGCATAATCCTGGACACAGGCAGCTGGATGGAGCAGCATTGAAAAAAAACATTGAAACAATTACTGCCCATCATGCCATGCCAATTCACACAACAAGATGCACCAGGACATTTTTGGTAGCTTTTATCTTTATTTATCTTTATTTCTACCAGAGGCTTTGCCTCCCAGAGAAGGAAGCTGACTGTGTCACAGCTAACACAGGAGGTTCCCACAATGAAACTTTGCCTTACACTTGAGGAAGTCAGATAATCTGGTTTTATTTGAGTAAATTCTCAGCCCATGTGTCCTTTTAGATCAGCTTACAGCAGTCTTAAAATGGGTCAAATAAAACTCCCACACAAAATGATGCACCCACACAATTGCATTAACCCATAATAAGCAGCATTTTACAAACTGAATTATAAATTTATAGGTCTTCAAACTGATATTAAATACCATTTTATAAAATCATCTACTGCTTAATAACAATTAACTGTGTACCTTAGACCCACTGAGAAACCTCTGTTGTCAGTTACCATAAAGGATATTAGACTTGTACTACTACTGGTTACTCCCTTAGTGCCCCTGACAGCTCTAAATGCTTAACCCCACAGTAAACTTATATGCCAGCCTGATATCAAAGGATAAAATTTATCTCCTTTTTCTACTTTGAAAACATAGGAAACAGTGCTTTAAAAACCTATTGAAAAGATGTGGTATTTAGAACTCAAGATACAAATATAAAAGTTCACAGAAAAGCTGTTATTCAGTCCTGATGGCAATGCTGGGGGAGAAGAAGGATAAATTATATGATAATACACAATCTACTGCTCTGCCTGCCTTCCTGGGCTGGCCCCTGTGAGCATGGCATGAATCACAGCCTAAAGCCCTGCTGGCTCAGCCACTGCCATAGTTGCCATTGCAGGATGAGGTGCCAGTGGGAATGCAGTGCCACTGCTCATGCCAACGCTGTGTTTACTGCACATGCCTCAGCACTTTCTTAAAAACAGCAAAGCAGCTTCTTGTTCACTGAGAGATCAGAGCCAACACAAACTGAAAGCTCTGCCCATGAGTGTACCAGATGCTGTGCTGCTTTCCCTCGAACCAGGATAGCTCCAGGCTCTCCCCCTGAACATCCTGCTGGCTACAAGCAATGGTGCTGAATCTGACACAGCACTCTGCTCTGGATAGCACAGGACTAGATAGATAATATTTCAACAGGTAACAAGCTAAAACTGCAGGTTGGGAAATTCATGGAGCACTGGTTTTAGTGTGAGACAAAGCTGCACCTTTGTTAAAAGTATTATAAAGAAGATTCAAAGAAATGAACTCTTGCCTATGTCTGGCTCTTTTTTCAATACTGTCATGACTGGGTGAGTGAATGACTCCAGGGTGTCCTGGAGTAATTTTTGTGGCATTTGGAGTCAATTTTGTGGCACACTCCAACTCTTCTCAACAATTTCATATTTAACATCACCTCCTTCAAAACAGGGACCTGCAACTTACAGGTAAAAAGCATCTGCAGACAGTTATCTGTGCAATGCAACATCTTGAGGGATACAAAGCATTCCAGAGAAATCAAATACCCCCTTTCCAGCTCCAGAAATCCCTGAGGAATGAGCCTTTTTATATTTGCCATATCACTCTGAAAATCACTACCCAAGCTAAACAAAATTTAGGTTAAAAAAAAAAAAAAATAAAGCACTTTATTCCAACAGAAATTTAAGGTACAAGTAGCTGGCACGACAAAAGCTCTTACAGGAGGCTGGCACTTTGTCTTAATCTCCAGAGTGTCTGATGCCTCTTCAGTCAAGAGCCAGAGGGACAAATATGCAGGTGATAGGGCTGGAGCCAAACTGACCATGCAAATCCTTACATTCCAGATACATGTCACAGAACAGGCTCCCTTCTCAAGTCACACTTCAGATAAAAGCACAGAAGTGATCACAGCAGCTCAGACTAGATGGCCATGGAGCTCAGTGCATTAACACTGTCAGTGTCCAAAAACAGATGCCCCGAGGAAAGCACAGGAACAGAGTGTGTGTAATAACCTTCCTTAGCTTCCATCAGCCTGCAATTTGGCTCTCCTGAGAAAGGCAGCACCAAATCCCAGAACAACTGTAGGGAAACAGAACTACCCTTTCAAAGGACAGCCAGTCCAGGCACCTGAACTGGTGGAGTTTGTGCCATCTCACAGAACCAGGTTAACTCTGTTACAGCCACTGCTTGAAGACAACCAGCTGTGCAAACATGTTCTGATTTACCTCCCCCAACACAACTTAAAAAGGAGTTGGTTACTTTCTTGCACATTTAGGAGATGAGATCATCACTACTTTTCCTTGCTTAATTAGATTTTTTATACTGTCTCATGGATTTTACCCAATAGATAAGGATGTACCAAAGACTTACCAATACTGGTGCCTACCTTTAACAGCTGTATATAATTAATGGAGAGCAAAGGTTACTAGTGATAATTACAAGTTGATTCTATGAGTAAACGAATGCAATTCCTTTATAGCTATTTTTAAACCTTTTGTTTTAATTACTTTCCTGTTATATTCGGTTATATTCCTGTTATATAAACATTCTGTAGCAAATTTAGTAATTTAGCTCAGCGTCTTAGTTACAATGTTTTTTCTGTTCAAACTAACAGATAAATAGGTACTTGTGGATAAGTAATCCCCCCCAGCTATATACTGAACTTACATACTGAGATAGAGATCAACAGAAATTCTGGATATTTATGTGCTACACAAACTGCCTCAACTTTGATTTTGCTGTTCTGAAACATCAGCTCACTGCATACAAAAGGTCTGTCTTAAATCAGATTTGAGTATAAATTGATGATGATACAAAAAAATGCACGATTAGGTAGGAAAAAAATCATAATTTACTAATATATAATTTATTCACACAGAAACTCTTTGTCTCGAAATACTTCCACACTGACAGAAGTCATAGCACCCAAGAGCTGCAGTCACTCAGCATTTTAGATCAGTAACATGAACAAAAAAAAAGACTCCATGATGCTACATTTAGATTGAATAGTAAGAAAAACATTTTCACTGTAAAGGTCGTTAAGCATTGGAATAGACTGCCCAGGGAAGCGGTAGAATCGCCATTCCTGGAAGTGTTCAAAAGACTGGAGATGTGGCATTTGGTGGCATGGTTTAGCGGTGGCCGGGTTGATGTTTGAATTTGGTGATCTTCGAGATATTTTCCAACCTGAAGGATTATGTGATTCTATGAGAAAACATAGAGCACCTCGGCAACTCTCTGTTCTCCCAGAGAAATCAGGTTGTAAACAACGTCTTTTAACGGTGGAATGTTGTAAAGAAAACGTTTTCATTCAAAAGCATAGGAGAAAGAGATCAGCAGAATCTGCTCCGCACTCTTGCAACTCCTGTACTTTAGTTTCAACCAGAGAAGCGCTAAAACGAACCGTTTATGCTACGCTTGAAAGCCCCCCTGAATTTTCCGGGATTTAGGAAATTGATTCATTTTTTTTCATATTTAAATAACAACGAGCCGAGTCGCTAGGGAATACGAATGTATGCGGTGCGGGTTTCTGCGCGCCTACCCCCGGTGCCGCGGACACTGAGGGAACCCCGCCATGGCCGCGGCCTGAGGGAACCCCGCCATGGCCGCAGCCACTGAGGGAACCCCGCCATGGCTGCAGCACCCAGCACGCCAATCTCCGGGGAAACCATGGAGGAGATACTCGGCCCCTCCTCCGGGCTCCTCCGGGCGGGCAGGGCTGGCAGCTCTCGAGGGAGCCCTGGCTGAAAGCATTTTAAGCGGGCATTAGCGCCAGGGAGCGGCGCTGGGCGGGAGCACGGGCCGGCCGCGGAGGGCAGGGCTGGGCGCCCGCGGGGGCTCGGGGGCTGTGCGGGAAGCAAACATGGTGCTCCGGGGAGCGCTGCTTCCAGCCCACCTCGGGCAGCAAGCCCTGCCTCCAGCCCCACCGCGGCTCGGCGGCCCGCAAGCAGTTCTCCTCCCATTTCTGCCCAGGAGGAGTCAGGGCGGACTGTGAGGGACAATGAGTTGGGGCTGACAGAGGAGCTTCTCTACACTGAACCGGCGCCATCTTGCAGTACGGACGGAAAGCTGTGGCGGGCGCCATTTTGCATTTGGCCGAGAGATGAGAAGCGCCCTATTGCATTTCACCTCCTGGGCGCCGCCATTTTAGGTTACGACATAGCCTCCGCCTTCCCAACCGCAATCTCATTGGGCGCCGCCATTTTGGCTTGCGAACAAGACGGCGACCCGCAGGGGTCCTCACCCCCTCCCTTCCTGCCTTTAGGTGCCTTCATAAAATGCCCGTCGAGAATCCCCTCTTTTTTCGCCCCGCTCCCAAGATGGCGTCGATGCGGGAGAGCGACACCGGCCTGTGGCTGCACAACAAACTGGGCTCCACGGACGAGCTGTGGGCGCCGCCGAGCATCGCCTCGCTGCTCACGGCCTCGGTCATCGACAACATCCGTCTCTGTTTCCACGGCCTTTCCTCGGCCGTCAAGCTCAAGCTGCTCCTGGGGATGCTGCACCTGCCCCGCCGGGCGGTGGATGAGGTGAGAGCCGGGGGGGAGTCGCATCGAAGCGGGGCGCGCGTGTGTGTGAGGGGGAGAGGTCGGGGATGGCGTGAGGGGAGAAAGGGGGGCAGTGCCGGCACAAGCTCCCCCGCCCGCCCTTTATTTTTCACACGGGGCTGCGGGCAGGGCGAACCCCGGGCTGCCCGCGGGGCGAAGCCGAGCGGCCGCAGTCCCTCAGGGCAGGGGCGTGTGGTAGCGCTGGTCCCCACAGCCTTCCCCGCCTCTCCCTCGCAGCCTTCCTCGCACGGGCAGCAGTAAGTGAAGAAGGTCTCCCGATTCGCTTCCTTGGTGTGAGGAAAAGCGCCGAGATTCCCCGCGATAAGGGAGTGAGTGGAGTGGGAGCTTTGCTGCCGCTCCTCCTCTTCCTGCTCTTCGGGGATTCCCTGGTTGGCACTAGGCTTTTGAAAGCAGTTTGGACATGAAACCCACTGTGCGACCCACAGGGACTCATTGTATGGCTGTGTTTGGGGTGCCTTTAAGGGAAGAGGGCTTTTCTGAGGCGGTGGCTGGGAGAGAGGCAGGATCGTGTAGGAGCAGTCGTGTGTGTGTTCAGCTTCCTGCACTCCTTCCTTAGTACTGGCAGCTGTGCAGGTGTCACAGGTCGAGCATCTCGGCTTCAGGGAGGACAGCAGCAAGTGCTGAAACTTTGGGAGTGGAAGATCTGGGGTCTGCACTGAGCAGTGCTTTTCCCCACCCTGCTGCAGTCAGGTCTTGTTTGGGGAAAATTGCCATGCTTTTTGTTTCCCTCCCTTTACCTTTTTGGGAACGGCTGGTGCTTTCCTCTGTTGTCCTACCCCAGTTAATAAACTGGCTGGCTCGAGTCTGAGCTGGCTCTGCAGGCTTTTCACTTGGCCCTGGACCATACCTCATCTGTACCTGGCTTATTCTTACCGGTGGGCAGCTGCAGATGTTTGGGGCAATAGCTGGAGAATGTCTGGAAATCTCAGGTTTCTTTAGCCGGATTGGAGGAATTCCTCTCCTACTTCCATCATGTAAAGTAGTATTTCCTCCTAACGATCATGGAAGTAGTGTGGGGTTAGTTTTCACCTTCCTCTGTAGAGTATCCTCAGCTGTGCTTTCACCAGTCTCTTTCTTGGCTAAGATACAGCTGCTGCTTAAGCTTAATATACATGTATACCAGGCAGGGTGTGGTATGTAACTTGGATTGATGTGTGCTCAGTTTTTGTGCTCTTCTAGGCTGAAAATGGGCAAGCATCACCTTCAATAAATAATTTAGTGTGTGTCAGTGTTTGTCTTGCCACATGTATCTGTATGATTCTTCACTGTGTTACACTGGTGTCACGTAAAAAAAGAAATCTAGTTCAGCATGTTAATGCTAATTTTTAAAATATGATATTCATGTTTAGTGCCAGTCCAGTGAACAAGCTGTCATCCTTGTGGGTGATAAATGGGGTCGTGTTCTGGACAAACAAAATAATCGAGGCCTGAAAGGGGGATGGGAGCTCGTGTGAACTTGTGAGTTTGCAAAATTCTTGTGACCTTAGTGTGAACATCCAAGTAGCAAATTAGTATGGCAGTGTAGAAAAATCAGTGGTGTTTTTAGATTGAAAAGAGCTTCAAAGAGCTTAAGGACTTTCATAAATAGCACTCATGGCACCTCTTTGAGGGAGCAGCATTCAAACAAACGGAAATAATTTGAAATGCTTCAAGAGTGTTCACTGGGTGAACATTTTAAACCAAACCCGAGGAAGAGCTGCCTGCAGCTTTCCTGGATCTGTGCTTGTGTTAGCCCTGGAGATGAAGCGTGTGTAGAGAAAAGCCAGTCAGTGTGCCTTTTACTGTGTACTTAAAGTGATCTGTTGTGTTCCAAATGTAAAGCTCTTGTTCCTGCTGTAACAAAATACTGTGGGATTTTTCAGTTTGGTAGAGTTCATGAATTCAATCATAAGCTTAATCTTTTATTGTAAACTGATGATGCTTGATTGAGATCTACCCTTAGCATCTTTAATTGTTTCAGGAACATGAGTTTTTTTGCCTTAAACTGGGAGAAGGGCCTTAAATAAAGGTTAAAAATAGTAAAACTCCTGAGGCAGAAACTCTTAACATTGCTGGTAGGCCTATTATTATCATTACAGGCTTCCTTCCATAGATGGTAAAAATAGCTGATGTAACCAAACTGCTGACAGAAAGGACTGTTGTCTTATCAGATGCTCATCATTTGTGGTTAGTTTGCTAAGATAGTTTTATTTGTGCAGATTTGTCACCTAACTTAGTATCAAAATATTCAGTGTTTTAATTGGCAGGGAATACCTTGCACACAATATCCAGCAGATAGATAAATATGTCTGTGTCCAGAGTGGCTGTGCTGTGCACATCTCTGCAGCAGCCTTTGCTTGTGTGTTGGAAGTCACCCCCATGTCTGAAAATGATTAAACTGAACTATGAGAGTGCTTAATTATTCTCTTTGGAAAGTCATTATGTCATTGCCATGCCATGTGCCTGTCTGTATCGATCGTGTGCGAGAAGCACCGAGCTGGCATTTGGAAGCTTAATTGTATTGGAAAATGTATTGCATCAGCTTTGTAAAGCTTTGGGAATCTCAATAGCAGCTACAGGATATGTTACCTGTTAAAAGATATTCCCTCTCTAGATAATAGATTCAACTGAGTTATTTTCTCTTCAAAATAAATTATTTTCTGTTTTCTGTATAGGAGTATTTTCATGAAAGCTTAGAATAACACAGAAACCATTTGGGAGCAGACATTTGAGTAAAAAGCAATGTGGGAATCAAGGAAAGTGGTGGTGTTTGGTTTAGAAGGGATTTAATTGCTCCTGGTCCTTTCTAAATTTCTGTGAAAGCTTCAGTCTAGACAAGTGAATCTTCAGTGACCCCTCTTGAAAGCTCAGTTCTTCGCTTAAGTGGTTTTATGCTCATATGTAATATCTTTCAATTTTCATAATGTTTTCATTCAACACTCCAAATACTATATAGATATAAGTGACTTAATCCTCATAACACTCTTGTGGGACAGGTAATAAAACTAATTTTTTATCATGCTGTGAACCTCATTGCTGCATGTTTGTTCCTGCTGACTAATAAGAATAATTGGCTTTCATTTTCATTTTAAATTGTGTCTTGTAGGCAGTTATCAAAAATTCCTTTCCCACTTTAATTCTCTGGGAAGGACTTGCAAACTCTTGAATCTTATGGCTTTTCATCTGCTAATATTTTTCTAGATAATTGTGCTTATTTGAAATGATGCCTAAAGCTCAGCATAGTGCTGACCAGAGTTTCAGCTGTGAATTTGGCAGAACTGTTATTTCTGTTTATTTTGCATATTCTTGTTAACCTGATTCACAATGGCAAGTGCAAACTTTCTTTTTATGCCAGTGTTAATTTATTTGTTCAGGGTTAGACTGTGATGTTACAACCAAGTCTGGAACAAGGACTGTGCTTCTGTGCTCTCTGAATTGTCTTGAGAGGAGGTTTCCTAGCCCAGCAGGGACTTGCCTGTTTATTACAGTAGAAATCAAAACTGTTTCTTTGTACTGTGTAAAGGAATAAGAGGGGACATGACACTTGCATTTCCCTCTGTCTTGAGAGCACACAGGCTACTGTGCACCTTTCTGGCCTGCACTTAGAGTTCATAATTATTCTATGATGTAAAATGGTATATTTTAACCCAGTAGTTCCCTTGGCCACTTCAGCTCTTTTTCATTATTTAAATGCATACAATAGTGTGGTGGTACCAACCTGTCATGGATTTGTATTGTGTAAATATTAATACTGTGTTTTCAATCCAGTGCTTTTAGTTTCATGAAAATGCTCTATAATGAGCAGCTACCTATTAAATATCATCTTTTCTATAGCCTCAGAAAGATTAAAGCTTCATTTGGTTTATTAGCCAACTGTTGATAAGTTGTCTAAAAGCATTTTCATACACATTAACTTAGGCAGAATACAGAACACATAAATGTGAAATATTTGCTAATAGTCATCTTGGAGCTGTCACATTGTGTGCTACTTGTAACACTTCCTTTTAAATACCTTCCCACAGTCCTGTTTGTCCTTCCTGCACAGCCATTATTAATCTGCCTGTGTTCCCAGACACTTCCCATCCTGCCTGATCCCTATTTGCTAGATGTTTCTAGTCATGGCCTATGCTTTCCTTGTGTGCTAGCAAGCTGATAAAAATACTTAAGATCCTTAAGTTTTAGATGAGAAAGACACTGGAACATGTTACATCAGATCTTGACATTCATGCTTAACAAGATGCTGGTTGGAGCTGATGAGAGTCTTAATGACCCAGTGTTGAAATCATAGGCAATTAAGAATTAGGGATTATGGCTGTGCCCTGTAAAGTAACAGGAAAACTGCATTTAGGATTCCCTGAGTTGCATTTCATGCATTCTCAAAGCATAAGTGACATGTTTCTTTTCAGCTGCCAGTTGAACAATGAAGTGGGAACATGTATTTAAATATCCATTTGAAGACAAACCCAAGTCAGAACTCGAATCTAGGCTTGTTAAATGCAAACCCATAGTCAGGCAAGGTCTCTGGTTAGCTCACAGTACTTGGTAGTGTGCTTTGCTTCCCTGTGTGTGATAGTGACTGCTTTTCACCATGTTCTTTCTGTCATGAGGCCTTGTGATAATGTTATTTGCCCCATGCTAGGCAAACAAATTGTTTCTGGGCTCCTTACTTGAAGGAACCAAAAGCTTGTTAAGCAGTGGGTTTTGGCATAAATAGGCTGCCTGAACTTTAACCCTGAGAGCAGAGGGGATGCAATGTGCCCAGACCAGTGTAGGCATGTAGTTATGTGAATTTTTGGTACAAATAGGAGTTTTGTGAAGTAGATATGAAGGGTAAATTATGGGGATGCAAGAGACATTTTTCCTCTAGCTATTGCCTGACTTTGCTTTGATGAAGGAAATGACGTTCTGTATGCTTGCCTGCATTAGTGGTGTCCACAGAATTTCCCTGTGAATTCATCAGCTCTTTTGGGATGTTTTAGGTGTTTTTTGTAAATCAGTACCTTGATTCCTTTAGGATAGATAAAAGAACAAAACACTTTGCTTCGATAGTGTTCAGTCATCCTCATCCTCTGCCTAAGTGACTTTTGTTAAGGAGTTCAGGGTTAGAATAGAGAGGTGGATAAGTGTGTGGAGGTTCTGGTGGGGTTATGTTTACTGAGGAATAAATGAGCAATGGAGAACCAGCAAAGACTAGAACCTCAGAAATTGATTCTTTCCACTGGGTAAGCATTGGTTAAATTTGACAGGACATTACACAGTGTGTGCTCCTGGTTATATGCTCAGTTTAATCCAAAGCAAATCAATGGCACTGTAAGGTGGGAACTGGCCCATGTAGTGTCCTATTCCTGCTCCTCTCTGTGGTTCTGGTGTTTGAGTGACTGCAGTCACTCACTCTAAGGAGCTGGTCAAGCTTAAAGCTACAGAGGTGCTCATTTTGGGTTAGATGGACTGATGCAGTTTGTTTCACAAGCACATAATTTGTGAGCCCTAAAACATGCAGAGGGTAAAGGACAAACTGACTTTGGAGTGGACTTGTAAACCCTTTCAAAGTGAGAGGGCAATAACATTGTGCAGATGAAAGGACTTGAGAAATGTCAATGTTTGTTTGCCTCTGAGCTTTAAAAGTGGATGGGAGAGGAATGGGGAGCAGAATTTTAACTTTTATTTATTTTATTTAGAGTTGTATGCATAGAGTAAGTTTATTTTATTAAACCTTTTCATATAAGAATGCTTTAAATAAATAAATAAAGGAAAAGAAACAGCATGAAGGTGAAGATGAGTCTCTTGCTTGTTTTCCTGTGTTCAAAAACATGATGACTGTAACTAAGCTATATGTGCCACAATGAGTGGTGAAAAATCAAAATGAAAGTATTTCCTTATACTTGCTTATACATTCTTCAGTGCTAATACAATGCAGATAGAGCATGGTAAACTACTTTATGTGATTTTACTGTTGTGTTTTGTGGCTTGTTAGACACACTGAATATCTCAAACATCTTAATTTGCTGAAGCTAATGCTGTCACGCTTACATGAAAATTTACTTAGAAAAAAAGAAAGTTCAGTCTTGGGGGGTTTATACTTACTTGTGAATGAAGTAAACCCCTGACTGTAGTCACCTTGATTTTCGTATCAGTGCCAACAGATATGTTGGTCAGTAATTAAGAAAATGCTGTTACAATGAAACTTAAAATTTATTTCATTTATTTTTTTGCACTTTTCAAAATAGAAAAATAACTTTTTTTCTGGCTACAGAAACTTTGGGTAGATGGAAAATCTTGTTGCTTGTGACATGTTAAGAGGGCTATGTTTTCTTCTATAATACATATTTTTTTGTCAAACAATACAGCATTGATTAGCTTGTTTTGGCCTCAGCTTAAGTAATATTTTGAAGACAATTATGATGCAGATACAATCTGTCTGTGTAATTATGCTGTAGGCTGGCAAGGGGCACATCTTCATTTAGATGCCTGTTGTAAATAACTTGTATTTGCATATTCCCATCACTGAATAGAAGGAGTGGGTCCACAGGAAGTATGAATGTAAAACAGAAGGAGACAGTAATGTAAAATTTGCTGCTGCTTTTAAAAATGCCCAGTGCTAAACAAAGCTTTGAGCTGCCAAAAGCTGAAAACAAACTTGGGTTAGATTGGCTGAAAGCAGTATAAAAAATTATCTTGGTTCATTCTTTGCTTTGTTCTAGAGTTAATGTATAACTGTATGGAAACAGTTTCCCTCTTCCCTCCCCCCAGTAGTAAAGTATTGTGCATGTTTGTATCTTTTTAAAATAAATCCAACTATAACCTGTTTAAAACTGTTTCCAATTGGTTGATTTTCTTTTTCTTTTTTTGTTAGATGAAAGGGGCACTGACTGAAATTATCCAGCTCGCTACCTTGGATTCAGACCCCTGGGTCTTAATGGTAGCTGATATTTTAAAATCCTTTCCAGATACTGGCTCCCTTAACCTTGATCTTGAAGAACAGAATCCCAATGTTCAAGATATTTTAGGAGAACTTAGAGAGAAAGGTAAGCCTTTTCTGTTGGTGAAAATTACAGCAATGTGGTGCCTTTTTTTAAGGAATAACCTGCCATTTCACAGGCAGCCTTGCTGTCCTAAAGTAGAGATACAAGAACAAGCACTGTCGTGTCTCTGAAATACCACAGTTCATGACCTGGACTATTACTGGACTGGGAACTGTGGTATTTGAGAATTGTAGCTTCTTAAATTATCTTTTCACATATCATCAGAATTTAATGTCAGTTATTGCCCAGAGTGTGAAAGGCAGCACAAAAGTTTGTGTGGACTCATTAGTGTCACAGGCTGTGCTGCAGCTTAGTCAGTAAAGGCTTTTTCTATGTTGCTCTGTCTCCCGTTTGGGGTACTCAAGATGACAGCAAGTCTCTGTCTTGTGTGGAAGCCCCACCACTGTCCTGGGCAGGGGCTGCCTCTGCTGGAAGTGTCTGGAGGAGGAGGCTGATCTCAGGAAGAGTTGTGCTGCTGCTGGCCAAGTAGCTACAGATTGCCCAGCAGCTGAAAATATGGGGTCAGGCACTTGCACAGTTGCTGCTTCAAGCAGTAAATGGTGATGCAAAACTACTCCTACTCCAGTGGGTTTATTTTAGCACATTGTCTAGAAAAAGCCCTCGGGCATCCATGGACAGATGCAATCTCGGGGCTGGAGATTGCAGCAGAACAATAATTAAATTAATTGGAGGTGGAAACACTTTGTTTTCTTTCTATAAACAAATGCCATTTGTCTCTCCACACTTGTGATTTGGATTTTCATTCAGTAGTTTGGTTTTCATGTGTAATTTTTAAGGAATCTGAGAATTCAATATTTTTATCTGTTTTTTGACACAGCAGTGTACTTAAGATACCTATAATTTGACTAGGTATAATTAAAATGGAAGCTTTTGTGAAGCTAATGGGAAAACCAAACATACTAATAACTGGTTATATATTGTGTAATAATTGGAACTAAATTGCTCTTGTTGTTAATACAAGTCATCTAAAATTTAAAACCACCTGTACCGTCTAGTTGTAAAATGTTTTGTCATTAGCTGCCAAGAGGTGCTAATACCCCTGTGTACTGTGTTAACTCTTTATGCAGTAAGTGAATGTGAAACTTCAGCTATGTTGCCGTTGGAATGCCAATACTTAAACAAAAATGCCTTGACCACACTAGCTGGGCCACTTACTCCCCCAGTGAAACATTTCCAGCTGAAAAGGAAACCTAAAAGTGCCACTCTCAGAGCTGAACTCTTGCAGAAGTGTAAGTAGTATTAAGATTGTGTACAAATTAAATTATGAAAGGACAAATTATATTCAGTATATTCAGTCTTACTCTCCAGAATTGTGATCCACATCAAAATTTTCTATTACAAGAGCTTTCCTGGATGAGGATGGACTGATGTGTGGAAGAACAGGTGCAGGTCATTCCAGCCAGGATTGCATTAAAATGCTAATATTGATTTAAATGCTGTTCAGACTTCAAGGCATACAAAGAGCTGTAGCTTCATAAAGTACAAATAGGTCCTCTCCGAGTATATGTAAGAGTCAGTTGGGAAGACTTCTCAGCACAGCTCCTGAAGCAAAAGTAAAATCAGAAGAGTTTTATTTTGCCATGCACTTTTGGAGCAGAGAGCAAGGGTTGCTAATTAATGCTTTCTTTCACTCAGTATGGCTGTATAAAACCAAGAGAGTTCTCTCTTAACAAAAGGCAGCATATGTGTACATGTATGTATTGGTAGCTGGTTGAAATAAGTGATCTCAAAATAGTTTGCTGCAGCTGCTGTTCTGTTGCAGCAGCTTGCTACTTTCTTGCATGTAACTTGAGTTGGTCTGGTTAAATGCAAAGCATGGAACTTTTCATAATGTGTCATATAACTTTTAAAAATTATTTACATTTCCACTAAGTAAATTACCTATTCGGGTAATTTCTTTTAGCTTAGGCCACCTTGTCCATTGCACAGTCATATTGATTTTGCATTTTCTCCAAATACTGTGGTTAGTTCACATAAATGACCTGGGTTTTAATTAAAATATAATTCTTTCTTTGCTGGTATTCCTATCTCTTTATGTATTAGTTAATAACATTTTATGTAAGGAGCAATGTGTTTTATATTTTCAGCACAGGTACTAATGCCATTTTTCTTTTTAGCAACAGAAACTGCACAACAGCTCAAGAAGACTGCAGGAGTGCCTTTCCATGCCAAAGGCAGGGGACTGGTCAAGAAGATAGATACAACAAGTATGGCTCACTTTCATCAGTTCTCAGAAAGAAAACCTGATAAAGTAGCCTTGATGAAGAATAAAATTACCATCTGTTTTTTATGAAAGCTTTAAAATTTTTTTTTGAAGCAAAGGATTTCTCTCTTTCTGCCTCCCTCTCTCCTGATACTTAAATATTTCTGACATGTCTTGTCAGAAACAACAACAGTGTGTGGGGATTTTCAAATGGCAAGTATATCTGCCATGCTTCTAAAGTGTATGCAGCTAAATCATGCCTATAGACTTTGATAGGAATTTAATTTGCATCACTCCAGGAATAACTCCTGACTAAGCCATGTGGCTCCAAAAGAGAGCAGAGTTGATCACAGTAGTCTGCTGTGCTCTTTGAAATGCTGTGAAGTAGATTGAAACTATATTGTATTTGTATAATCCTGTCTGGAGAAAGAAGAGGGGACAGTGGATTCTCTGCAGCCGAGGCTGAGCATTGAATTCTATATGGCAAACATGTGGAATGATCCTTCAGCTTTGTATTAATGCATTTCAGCTGTTTGCTGAAGAGGGTTTAAAATTAGTTACATACTCTTAAGTCACTGCACAGGTATAACATTCCTGGCCACCAGTGATTGTGAGGTGTGAACCTTTGAGTGATTTCTTGGTGTTGTAGCTAGAAGCTATGAAGTACTATTAAGTACTTTGTGTTGATGCTATTTAGGATGTGGCTTTGAGGGCTGAAATTTGGCCTTGTGTTCCTGCAGGAAATGCAAAAGGTGTAGTTATAATTTGAACTAAAATTTTTCCATTATAGAAAAGGAAACACATTCTGTGTTGCTGTTGAATTGCTAAAGGCCAGTTCTTAGACCTGGCCTTCAGAGCCAGTTGGCTTCTAGAAACAGGAGTTGAGGATCCACTAAGGTTTGTTCCACTGAAAGGTACTCACATGGGTCAGAGCATAGTCCTATGGTGAAAACATTTGCAGTGCATCACAAGCCCTTAGCCCTGCAGAAGCTTGCCTAAGATTTTTGGTTAAATATAGTTTTATCAAGTAATTTGATTGTGAAAATCAAAGAGCAGCTTTGGCAATAATTGGATTCAAAAGATCTACATCCCACACTGTTTTACATATTCAGAGATTATTTTTTACAAGTAAGGAAAGCATCTGTGTGTATAGGAAAAGCAGACTTTGTTAGCAGTGCACCTGTTTGATTACTTCATGTAGAATTGGGTTGCAAGCATTGGTCAGAGATTGGCTCTTACGCCTTTTTTGAAAAGTAAAACCTAATCTGACCTTTGAGGGACATGTAGTATTATAGCCAATTCCACATTAGAATATTAATGTTTATTATAAACATTTTAATTTAAAGGGCAAGTAGTGTGTGCATTAAGAAGGGGAAGAGCTGAAAAACTCATTAAAGCATTTTTCACAACCAATTAAATACATATTTCAGTTGTTGCTTTGTTTGCTCTTCCCTAAGCACCACTCAAAGGAATACCAAAACAAGCTCCCTTCAGGAGTACTTCAGCTCCCAGTGTTTTTAGTCCTTCTGGAAACAGAACTCCTATTCCTCCTTCAAGAACACCTTTACGCAAAGAAAGAGGAGTAAAGGTAGGTGCACTCCTTGTTTTTCTGCTCAGGACTCTTCTCTCACATAAAGTGAATTTCTGCTGCTGCTTTGAATCAATATATTAAAGGAAAAAAACCCCAGAGGATGATATTTAGAGATAAACGACATGCATTTAGCAATGATTATTAAGTTCTCTGTGGTCTTTCTTTTTAGCTTCTAGATATCTCTGAGCTGGATATGGTAGGTGCTGGCCGTGAAGCAAAGAGAAGAAGAAAGACATTAGGTTGGTACAGCATTCTACTAATGAAAGCTGTCAGTGCACCTGCAAATAGGATCAAAATTTGTAGTACCATTTTGTTCTTAATTTACTAAAGCTTAGCCTGAGCTAAACTTTAAAAAATTTGGGGATGTGATTCCAAGCAACCCAAATAGGTTTTCAAGGAGCATTTTCACTTGTTTCAGTGCTCCTACTCATATTGCCTTGGCCTAGGTAATATAACTCAATCATGTGAAAGGATTGAGCTAATCAGTTGTGCTTTGGGCAGCCCATAGATGTGTGGCTGGCTTCAGTACTGGATTTTTTCTGAGTTTTCTTCTGCTCACTTCTACTGGCTGTGTGGCCATATAAATTAGGTGAAAGTAATATTGAAAAAATTTATAGCAATGTTCAAAATTTTTACTGAGAGATCTTTTCAAGTGAATAATATCTGATATTCAAGTGAATGATACCTGCTTTTAAGGCAAGTGACAGGATAGTGCCCTACTTAACCATATCAAGAAGATAAACTATGCAGTATATTTGTCCTAAAACAATTTTTGTGTTTGTCACAAAAAAGAATACCACCTCAGAACAAAATCATAATTGCAATTAAAATGTTGCTTGGGCTTTCATGCTTTCTAGTGTCAGATTACTCAATTACTGTATCCTGTACATTGTTGTTCAGTTCATTATTTGGTTCACTATAAAACTATGTTTGGAGATTACTGTATATATTTCAGCATATACCTCTTCAAGCATGTTTTAGCATACTTTGAGAAATGCATTTTTATATCTTTGTTTAAAAAGTATATTCAATATCTCTCAAAAAATGTTTGGACTCACTTGTGTTTTTATGCAATAGATACGGAAGTTGTGGAAAAGCAAGCCAAAGAAGAAACAGTAGTAGAAAATGCTACCCCAGATTATGCTGCTGGCCTTGTATCTACACAGGTAAAACCAAGCAAAATCAATCAAACAAAAACCAGCCAGTCATATTTTACTTACTTGTTGAAACAGATCTCTTTATGTAAATTTTTTTTACATAATTTTTTAAAACTTCCATTATATTTTCACCAAAGAAAAAGCAAACCTGTTGCTAGAAGTCATTCAATCAGGGAGAGGAAGAACCAGTCATGTGTAGGCCTTTTTTCTCCTATTTCAGATACAGCATATTAGAAACTATGGTGCAGCTTTGTCTCCTCAGTCAGGATGTAGGTTCTACAAGAATGTCCTGCCCTTGTTTTTGGGTGAGAAACTGTCTGTTGGGCATGTGTGACAAGCCAAGGCCAACATACAGGCAGATTGTGGTAGGCCAGAGTCAGGAGTGAAGGTCATTGCCTCTCTTTCTTTCAGATTCTGCTAAGAGAATCTTTGTTTTAGTAAGGTTCCACATTTTACAGAATGTCCATCTTTTATATAGCAGGGCTGCCTTAAATGATTTGTCTGTTAGACATTCCTCCCCCAGAATTCTTTCCTCTCTCACTCCCTTATGTTCAAAGGCTGGATCAGGCAGTGAAATCATCAACCATGCTGCTGTCTTCATGCTGTGTATGCGGTGTCATGTATAATTAGGTATAAAATGAGGCTTTTTCTGTAGCCTCATCATCCTAGATGGCATCAGTCATGTTGGTGTTGGCTGCCTGTTTCAGTAGGAATGACATTTTTGCCTGTGCTGTTACTGCTGCCTTCTGCTAGCCTATGTCCCAGAGGCCTTTGTGTTCTCCTGGGTGATACCCTAGTAGGCCTTATGCCCATGGATGAACATGGTTCTGCTTGCTAGTGGTGAAGAGCATGTTTCCTCTGGCAGATGACTTAGTCCTAGAGTGCAGTTCTTCATAGAGTGCCATCTGCACAAATTTCTGATGTTTGAATTAGAAAGTCAGTGTTAAACAGGTTGTTAGGGAGGACTCCTAACAGAGGAGTCTGCAGTTAAGTTCCCAAAAGGAATATCTTAGTAAAACTAATCTTGAAGTTGTATTTAAAATGTAAAAACAGCCCATGAATACTTGCAGTGTGGCTTTAATACTTTCTTTTCTGTTCTGTAGAAACTTGGCTCGTTGAACAATGAGCCTGCACTACCTTCTACAAGTTATTTACCTGCTACCCCCAGTGTGGTGCCGTCTTCCTCCTATATCCCAAGCTCTGAAACACAGCCAGGTAACAGACACTTCTTTGCTCTTGGGACTTGATAACTGCAATTCTGTACAGTTTTACTGTCTGGCTGCTCTTTTATTTACAAACCTACTGTCCCTCAACTTGAGTGAAACTCCACCAGCCTTTGAGGAAACCAGACATATCATTTAACCTAAGTAAAGAAAATAATTGTTGGCTCTAAATATTTAGAGTGACTGCTAGGTTAGTCAAGTAAGTGAAACCATTTTTTTTTCCCCTTACACAGTAATAGAAAATCCAGCTTTTGTAATCCCCAAAGAGTAATCAGTGTAAGTCTGAAGTATATATTCCATGCAGACACAAAACAGTTGCTTTCAGAAGTCAATTTTATTGCTAGAGGCAAGTGCATATTACCTTTCACACAGTTTGGGATTAAGCCATCCATTTTTCTTCTACTTTTGTATAAAAAAGATAATAGCTGACTTACTGCATATTTTGAAAAGTGCTGTTATTTTCAATTCTAGAAAATTGCCAATAGTAAAAAATAGTTTGTACAAGTCCTTTTTTTCCTACAGTTTTATTTTAACCAGCTTGATTTTATTTTTCCTTCCCTGTTGTGTGTGAAGTCTTTAAAGGAATGTATCAGTTTGTGCTAACAAATGTGCATGACTGGGATTCGTTACCAGATCTGTCCACAAACAGAGAACCAGCATTTCAGTTTAACACATTATTTTTACTTGTGAGCTGTGGCATTTTGGGCACTATAGAAAACTGCATAGATGCAAGACCCAGTCATTTCATTTGGCCTTAAAACAGTTCAGAATCTCTCTGAAGGTCTATGCACATCTTTCTCTGGCAGAAAATTGGCATCTCCAGAAGGAATGCAGCCAAGAATACAGCAGTGTCAGCAGCTGTAGTACTATTTTCCAGAGTGTTGGCATTGTGTTCAGCAGCAGGAAAGGTCTAGTTTAAAATTCTCTGTTCTGTACGCTTTCCTTTAGGAGTATGGAGTATATAGCTTTTCTTAGGGACCAGGAACATAAAACTGTTTGGTTGATATAAGATGCACACAGAAGATCCACAGATTTGGCCTCACATAATCTGAAGTTGCATAATTAAGACATTACTTCACGAAAGTCAGTTATTCTGACAAGAGACAAAGCCAGTAATGAAACTTGTAAAGGAGTAAGGAATAACTCATACTGCAACTGTTTATTCTCTCAATTGTTCGACATTTAATGAAAAATACCAGTATTGCTAAAACCATTGCTGTGTCTGTGTCAAGGTGGAGAACCGTAGATGCCTCATTTCCTAAAATCTGCTCTAAGGGCATCAGTGTAGCTCTGATCCATGTCTGCCTGTAGCCTTCTGTGAACATGGTGTGAACAGGCCAGATTAAAGCTCATGAGGTTTGTGAAGGGTGCTTGAGCAGCTGTGCCTCTGTCCAAGAGCTGCAAAAGAACCTAGATAGAGTGTCCACTGTGTAATTACCACTGGCTGGACAGATGGTAACTTGTGTAGTCAGGCTGCTGTGATTTCAAGAGTTGCCTCAAACTGCAGCCAGGTTTGGAATAGTACAAGTTCCTTACTGCAGGTGAATGGATCAGCTTTGAGAAAGAACAGTTAAGCCTTGTGGCGTTTTAACTTCTAGCAGTTAGTGTTTAAATTGCAAGTGATTTGTGAAGACTGTTTAATTCTGACATCTGTTAAAGTATATTTGTATTTTTAGTATCTTAAAGGCACTTGCTTGGAAAGCTGCTGCTACATTAGATAAAACTGATGAAATATTTTTTTACTTGCTCTGTGTAATAGTACAGAACTATCCTGGTAGGATCAGAGTGCAGTTGTTATAGCTATATAAACTGAAAAGTAAGTATTGCAGTTTCCATGTAATAAATTGGATATTGACTAAACATCAGATTTGATGCTAAATATAGTGTATCCATATGGAACAGCTAGTTACTCTGTTGTCTAATTATTTTTAAAGAAAATGGAGTGGAAAGTGCATTAGCTCTTAGCTTTTTCATACAGATATTGGATGGCATATTGAATCGTGGTGCTCAAATGGATTCATCAGAGATTTTAGTTTTCTTTAAAGGCCACTGGTGATGCTAATTCCTGTTTGTAGATTATAATGTTTTAACTGTCCTGACTGGTTTTTGCAGCTGGTTCTGCACGAGAGGCCTTGCAGACCAACAGGCAGACAGAAGAGCCTGCAGCTCCAAATGCTACTACAACTCTCCCTGCACAGTTCAAACAAAGAACACCCATGTACAACAGTAACTCTAATCCCCCTGCAGCTACACCTACCTCACCCCTAACACCCACCACACCTCCTGCCATCTCCCCTGCGGCACAGGCACCACAAGTGGCCCCCCAAACTCAGCAACAGCCACCACCGAAGAAAAGCCTCTCTCTCACAGTAAGTAAAACAATATTCTTTTTGACTGATGGTTTTGATGTGGATTGGATCTCGTTTATATGTTGGCATTTCTTGGCCTTTGGATTATGGAGTGGTTGAGGCTGCTTTTTTATAACCAAAAATTGCAAAAATACTTTGTGGTTTAGCATTGCTGTCTTAATGTTATTCACAACATTTTTAGTTGTGCAGTGTTAATGTTGCAGTAAGATGTTGTTGATTAATGCTGCTTGTTATGTAAAATAATGTGTTGCTCCTTATAAAGAATTTTGGGAGAAGGGTGTATTTCCAGCAGAAATTGCATATAATATAAATTGTTTTCCTTTAAACCAATATAAATTGGTTTAAATTATCCTGACATGGCTATAGTAGGAGAAAATACATCAATATTTTAAGGTAAAAGATTTTATTTCTGATCCACCTCATCCCCCCATTACACATTTTTCAAAGCCTGAAAGTGGGGATATATCTTGAAGCTTCCTATTCCTGGTGCTTTGGTATGTATTATGTGCATGCTTGGAGTTCAAGATGCAACCGACCAGAAAATTTTGCTAAGCAGATGTGTAAGCCTGGCTTGCAAGAGCTGAACTTTTACAAGCTGGATGACTTCTTTTCAGTACCTCTACTGCATTTATTAAAGGAAAAGAAATCCTCTGAAATTATTGCAAGCCTGGGTTTATTGGATTGTAGAGAAAGCATTGGATTATTTTCTTTTTTCCATGATGTCATAAAGGACACAAAATGGGTAACGCAAACATTAAGCATCCCACATGTTTCTGTAACTAGTTGAAGGTGGGGTGTTTTTTTCAATGTCCTGAGTTCAATTGTCACTGCTGTGCATGTTAGGTATAAATATTGCAGAGGAGAAGCCTTGAGGTTAGGATGCCTTTTTTGTTAACTTTTCGTAGGTCCTACAAACTTTCACCTTATTCTTTTACACTTATCTGTGGTATTAATGTGGTCCCTGTTAGCAGAGTTTTTCTCAACTGAATTGACATTTCTTGTGTCTGTTACAGAGGGAGCAAATGTATGCTGCACAGGAAATGTTCAAGACTGCAAACAAAGTTACAAGGCCAGAAAAGGCTCTTATACTTGGATTCATGGCAGGATCCAGAGGTATGTATTGATGTTAATTTAGCTTGCTTCTGAATACACAAATCTGAAATACAGCCCAGCATTTCTAAATGTGCATATGAGTGTCCATTGCTTTAGCTTTGTCTGTATGTGTTGGACTCTTTGCTTTACACTGGGCTCTCCGTACTTTTACAAATTATAGTTCTAACTACCTGGAAATGGGTCTTTAGGGTCCATTTCCACTAAGTCAACTGGTGTATAAGAAAAGCTGCTGACCACAATATAGCTTAACTCACTGTAGAATCACGGCTTAGGGTTGAAGAGAAGCAAAGCAGCTGGAAAGCCATGAATAAAATCGTTGGGTGCTACTGCTCTGCCTAGAGGACCAAGGAATGTAAACTCTTCTGTGGCCAGTTGATATACCAGTCAGGTGGTACAAAACCTTTTTGCTAATTCCTTGCTTTGGAAACTGGCAATTGTTATCTCAGAGACTTTAGATAACAGCTGGTGCTGTGAATCACAGGGAGATAAGCTGTCTCATAGCTGGATCCTGTTATGTGCTGGCCTTGATAGACCAAAGCTGTTTTACCTAGAAGATTATTGGATGTAAGATGAGACGGGGCTTAAGAGTCCTTAAGTGAACTCCATCATCTGCACTAGCTCTGGTTTCTAATTTAGTATTTGGGGGATCTTACCACCAGAGTCCTGCAGCCTAAGTGTGGCTCATGCATTTGGAGTAATGCAATACACTGGTGAGAATGACCAGAGTTACTGTGGTGATCCCTGAGCTTTTAAGTTTGGTGCATCTTGCATTAATGACGGCATTCTCAGTACTCAGTGCTACTTCAAATTGCACTGGGAGGCTGTACTTCAATATCTACACAGACACCTTTCTCTAATGCAAGGTAAAATACTATTTGGAAGTGTGTATGATATAGATTCACGTATACATATATAGTAAAGTAAATATTAATATGAATTCCTTTAGTAATAATGTCAGCACCTTCTGGAGGTTGGATAAATAACTGCCAACTTGAGTACCTTGAAGTGTAACATGTAAAACTTATCATTCCAGTACCTTGAAGGGTAACATTTAAAACTTCTATTGGCATGTACCTGAGTCTGGGACAAACATTGGTGAAGCTTTTTGAGCTTCCTTAACAGCTAAAAATTCTTGAGGCATTTACAAAATGTCTCCCAACTAAAGTAACTCTAGTAGTTCAAGTTTACCAACTTCATTTAAATATAATCTTCTCTTCTGACTCTTGATGTAGAGAGAAATGACACTGGCAGGCTTTACTCCCACTTTTATTGTTCTTCCAATTATGTTAGCCTTGAGCTTTGTCTGTTGGAGTCTGGTTTTTTTATTTTTAAAACTTGGTCTTAGGAGTATGGAGAGAGGAAAATCTTTGTGGTTTGCTCAGCTTTGTGTTTGAGACTTGTTGTTTGTATTTTGTGGAGTTTTTTTAAACTGTTTTTGTGTAATTACTAATATATATACACTAATATATAATTTAATTAATTTTGTCTAATATACTGTTGTATATCCTAATATACGGTTGAAATGTATAATGTGTTTCTCTTCTTGTTTCTGCAGAGAATCCTTGCCAAGAGCAGGGTGACATCATCCAAATTAAACTGAGTGAACATACAGAAGATTTACCAAAGGCAGATGGCACGGGCAGCACCACTATGTTGGTTGACACAGTCTTTGAAATGAACTATGCTACTGGTGAATGGACCAGATTCAAGAAGTACAAACCTATAACTAATGTTTCCTAAGAGATGCAGCTGCAGCAGACTGGACCAAATCAAGTTTAGAGTCAACCAGCTCATAGAGTATGTCAGCTGTACAAAATGGCATTCATGTGTACATTTCTTATTACCCTCCAGAGTAGAAGCTGTGCTCTTCAACCAAACTGAGCTCAGTGAACACAGAAGTGTTTGATGGTGTCAAACTCACTTAAATTTTTTTTATTAATCTTGGGAGAGGGAAAGATGATCCTGGGGGGGGCTGGGGGTACATTGTTGGTGTGTTTTTATTCAGGATGATGTGTTGGAAGCTCAGGATGCTGAAAAAGGAGATCACAGCTGAAAGGTTACAGATGGGAGTAGTTCACTGCTAACTACCAGAAGAGAAGACTACTGCACAGTCACTCACGGTTTACTCTTAACTGAGGGCACAGATCTTTATCATAAAAACATTGTCTTTGGCAACATGAGTTCTGTCATAAGAATGGATATTTGAAGCACCACAGGTCAGTACTTGATAATTTTGTATCTCGGCTGCAGTATAACTATTGCAGATGGTAGATGTCATTGTCTAAAGGTACCCACTGTATGTTTAGCTTATTTATGCTTGGGTCATAGGATGAAATTGAGCAGCTTTGTTTTAGCAGTGGGAACAAAGCAACATGGACCCCCTTATGCATCCAAAGGAGATCGCTTTATTGTAGAAATTGCTTCTTTTTAAACCTTTAATCTCAACCTGACATAACTGAAACCAAACTGAGACCTCACAGAACTTGGTCCTAACAGGACGAAGGCACCCATTGGCTGGCTCAGCTGCCGTGCTGCTGCCCACGTGTCCGGTCATCCAATCAGCTTCCTGCTCACGCGCTGTCCGCGTGTTCCCCCAGCCAATCACACTCTCCCTTCCAGCTGTCACTCAATGACTCTCTCCTCACCCCGACTGCCTCTCACCCCTCAGCTTCTCCCACCCTCCAGCCTGCAGCTCTGCCTTTCCCATGGGGCCTTCTGGGGAGCATAAGCCTTAACCACCTCAGTAATTATTACCCCATATCCTACATATCCCCCCTCTTTTTTATTAAGCAGCAAAAGCCTAGTAGGAAAAGCCTAAACAATTCCTAAGACATTAGTAATGGTGACAATAATAACAACTTTTCAAAAACTGTTAACATAGGCTTCTCCTGTGTGAGCAGTAACACTTAACAGGAACATTATTCAATTATTCATTCATTATTTGAATGAAATTTACAAGGTGAAACTTACAACTGCCTATATGGTTTGCTATCAGCCAGGGTCTGCTAAGGAGCCTTCTTTTCACAAATGAGGACTTGGAAGGCCTCTTCCAGATGAGGCTTCTATGTTTACCTCAAAGGAATGTGGTCTAGCTTTTGCAAAGCTAAATCAGTGAATCTTTTTTTTTGTACAGAAACACCTGGGTTTGGTAGTATACTTTTCCTTGCCAGTCAAGGCCATAGCTTGGCCAGAGCTAAGGCTTAGACTGGGAAGGCATTCCTATCATATGATTAAAAGAAATCTTCCATGATAACTCACAGAACAGCCAGCTTTATCATAAATAACTTGTAAATGTAACTATGTACATATATATACAACTCCTTTGAAAGTACCATTTATTTACCTTTTTGTCACAAACAAACAAATTCAAAACTATCAAAGGAAACATCTCTTTGTCTCAGACAAACCTACAGGTGCCAGGCAGGTTTGCTTCTCTGAGGAGGCAAGGCAGAGGTACAAGGTCCTGGTGGCTAGCAGCAGTAATGCTGGGCTCTGTGTAAGGGCCACGTGGCTGTGCCGCTGCACTGCCCCATGGGTTTATCCAGCCACAGTAGAGATATCTGTGCCACTTCACTCAGGCCACTCAGAGACATCTGCAGCGTGGCAGTGCCTGTGCCATGGGAGCCACCTGCTCACTGCTGGCAGCCCTGTGCCCCAGAAGAGTGCAGCCCATGCCCCTTGGCTGCTTCTGCTGTTGGCGGCCCCATGCCCTCACTGCTGCTTCTGGGTGAATGTATGAGACAAGTGTGCTGGTGACAGCCACTGGGCCAGCTGTGCCATTGTCGCTGGGCCACGCTTTGTGCATGATGTTTCCATACTTGATGGGCTGTCAGTCCCTGATGTGCCTGTGGCTGGCCAACAGACCACCTGCAGCGAGCCGAGCACGGTCAATGTGGCCACCAGGCCCATCCCAACCCACACCCAGCCAGGACCCCCCACATATGTGTCCAAAACCTGGACATGGCTCAAGCCTCTGCTAGAGAGTTAGTATTATGAGCAGTAGTTCCCGTGTTTTGGCTATAACCATATCTGCTCTATCACAAGTATGTGGGTTATGAACAGCGAGCAGTGCTTTTCTACAATCTTCGTTAGCATTTGTAAATGCAAGCTGCTGCAACAGAATGACTCTGGCCTCATCACTGTCAACTTGCCAGGAGAGCGTGGCATGCAGTCTGTCCAGGAACTGCACAAAGGACTCCACTGGACTCTGTAAAATTTTAGCAAAAGACATACTAGAATTGGTACCCATCCCTGGGAGTTGCTGCAGGGCTAGGTGAGTGATGGTATTACATACATCAGGCAGGTAGCCTGCCTGAGCTGCAGGGACTGCAAAGGGACCCTCTACTGGTCAGCTGCACAATGGCAACTGGCGCATTTCTGTCCTGCAGTGCTTCTGCCTGGGTTGGACACAGCTCTCTGCAGTTGGTGAGCCAGACTGCAAACTGAGTCACCGTTAGAATCATTTTCCTGGTACTTTTCCAGCCATGGGGTGTGAAGACATACGCGGTACTGATAGACTAGAGGTAGCTTAGAGCGCGATGGGAGGATATGCTGCTTTCTTTTACTAGCGCTCTCGGTTCCTTACTTACTTTCTAGTCCAGCTCTCAGCACACTGGGCGTTGCTTCAGTGTCTGTATTACTGGGCAGGCCAAAGCAACTGCCAAGTCGCCCTCCTTCATGGTGGCCTCCCCTGTTTTTGCCAATGCTGGACTACTGCATCGCCATCTTGGGCAGGAAATGAGTCTGCCGCCCGCTCGCGATGTGGGAATGCTGCGCCCAAGGGTCCAGACACACAGGGATTTTTATTGGGGTAAGGCAGTTCCGTGGGGCTTGGGTTAGTCTTGGGATAAGGGAATTCTTTGGGGTTTGGGTCCATCTTGGGGTTGTGTATGGGTTCTGGTGGCACTGAGGGTTCAGGAGAATTAACTTCCGAAGCCGTGTAATGGCTGACATTTGTGTGACTTCTTTTGATAGCTGCCATGATTGTCCCCATGTAGCAAGGTGCTCATAAGCTTCAGCATTGCAGTCCCTGGTGATACCAAAAAGTCTCTGCCCTGTTGCCTGCCAGGTTTCTGATCAAAGAGGCCCACTAAAGGGAAAAGCTTAACTTGATTACACACCCAGTCCAGCAGGGTGCTTAATTTTACATCAGCCATATCAATAGATTGCTGATGTAGGAGCTGTCTGACCTGGCCCAAGCTCCTGCTTTGTTCCTCTGATATTCCACCTCCCATACTTTCTCCTCCCAGTGGGGTGTGCGTACTTTAAATCCCCAAGTTCCTTCCCAAGGTCTTCCCAGATCCTGCCTGGCCCGTTCCTTGACCTAGTGGGAGCTGCTACCGGAGTGGGCCGCACACCCTGCATCACCTTTATAGGTCCCTGTTCGGGCCAGCCAGCAGTGGGGAACAAAGCGACACGGACCCCCTTACGTGTTCAAAGGAGATCGCTTTATTGTAGAAATTGCATCCTTTTAAACCTTTAATCTCTTTAACCTTTAAACCTGACATAACTGAAACCAAACTGAGACCTAACGGAGCTGAACAGAACGAAGGCGCCCATTGGCTGGCTCAGCTGCTGCCCACGTGTCCAGTCATCCAATCAGCTTCCTGCTCACGTGCTGTCCGGGTTCCCCCAGCCAATCAGCTTCCTGCTCACGCGCTGTCCGTCTGGTCATCCAATCAGCTTCCTGCTCACGCGCTGTCCGGGTTCCCCCAGCCAATCACAGTCTCCCTTCCAGCTGTCACTCAGTGACTCCTCACTGCCTCTCAGCCCTCAGCTTCTCCCACCTCCAGCTCTGCCTTTCCCAGGGGCCTTCTGGGGAGCATAAGCCTTAACCACCTCAGTAATTATCACCCCATATCCTGCATCTTGTTAACTCTCCATATTGTCCATGTACATGTCCAACATGAGTTAATCTTCATTTGGCATTATTTCAGACAGACAGAAACTGAATGTCATAACTTTATGGGGAAAAAAGTCCATCAAATTTATAAAAGTAACTGTGGCTTGTTGCTGCTTGGAAGTGATAGTTTCTTGCTGTAGGAGTTTTGGGGTAGAAGTTGATCTATGGCTTTTGCATAAGAAGCCCTTTGCACAGCATAACTTACCTGGAGGAAGGGAAGCAACTACATCTCAAAACTAGTTGGAGCTTAATTTAAAAATGGCCCCAGAAATGGTTGAGACACATCTGAGTAGAAGTAGTTTTGTTGTCTTGAGGAACTCTATGTTTGGTTGAGCAGTCAAAAGCTGCTTGATTGCCAAACCCTGACCCAAAAAAATTTTAAAGACTGTAGGTGTGGTTCTTACCAGTGTAGTTTTATCAGTATAATTACTAATGTCCCCACAATTATATTGGCATATAAATGTGCCTTGTACTTGTCCCCTGCTAGAAGAAGCACATTTTTATCTTTATAACTGTGTTCATACCACTGGTGTAATCCGGCTTTGATGCTACAAGCAAAGCTGGCATTTACTAAGAGGATTTATTACATAAGTCAGGATTCCTTCTTGGGAGACTTAGCTTCATCATTTGAAGGAGTCTTGAATTCAGTGTCTGGTTTCTGCCAGTACTTGTGTGTGGAGCTGTGTTTGGTTGGGAATGCTGCTTAGAAAGAAGAAATTCAAAGATGAGGAAAAGAGTGGTCATGTGTTGAGGAGGTACCTCAGGCTGACTTAAAGATTCATGCTGAAGTGGAACTTTTATGACTAAATGAGGCTTTTTTTTTTGTTTGTTTGTTCCTTTTTTCTGAAAAACAAGCAGACCAAATCCCATAGTACACTTGTATACTTATAAAGACATTTAGATGTCTGATTAGAATCTTTTTTTATTGGGGAATTTTTTACTGCATTTTAATCTTTGTTTTTCAATCAAACTACCCAACAGGACAGGGAAAGTATAAATATTATTTTAAAAAATGCCCTGTATTCTGCAGTGTTTTAAGATGTGACCAAAAGTGTAGATTTCTTAGCTTTATTTAAGCAAATACACAGAATGTTCTAGCTCCTGTAACAGGCAGGTTATTTGATGGTAACTGCTGCTGTTACAGAGTGTTGTGCATGTTTTAGTGTGAAAGTTGCTCACATATAACTGTCACATCGGGGCTGTCCCCCCCAGAATTACCCATTTCAGAAACAATGGAGATTGCAATTTTGATTCCAACTTTTCTTTTTAAACAGCTAGAAAACAGCTTGACAAGTGAGGGTGAGTAGTGAATTTTAGTTTTTAGAGTTTAGTAGAATGTGTTATGGTTATAACTTATTTGGTTTTAGAGTGTTACACAGTGAGGGCTAATGATAGGACATGAAAGTATTCATCTTCTAGGAGAAAGGTTTAAAGAAAAGTGACATTCCTTTTGTTGTCTGCATTCAGATTTTAAAGTTTCCTTGTGATGACCAGTTTTCGGTACATGTGTGTGATACTTCTGCCTTAAGTGTTCCTGCTTGCTAGATGAGCTGCAAGTATCAGACACAGTTGTTAAAAATGAGCATTTAGAAAATTGGCTGGCTTGAGGGGTGTGTACTGTCATGTATTGTAAACTGTTGATGCAAGACCTGTGCAGTTCAGTCATGGTCAGGAGCTGCTGTGTGGTGGCTCTTTTGACTTCCTTGAGATTAATGGTTGGTCCCTCACTAAACTTTCTGCAGCCACAGAAGTCTGCATTTCAGACCTGTTTTTGGGAGGAGATAGCTGTCCCTCTGCTCTTCAAGAAGCCCTTCTAGAATGCAGTGGAGTCATTTGAGTGCACTAGTATGTAGGAAGCTTAACCGTGCTGCTGTTTGTAATTGCTGCATAGTGCAGTCTGTCTCCACCCTGTTTGTCTAAAGTCAGTCATAGGCAATAAATGGAAATTTTAAGTAGAACTGTAGTATATTTTTAATTCTGTTAACTCATTAGGATAAGACAATTTAACACTGCAAAATTAATTTTTTTAAGTCACTCTATGACCCTCAATACCAGAAGATTACTTCAACTTGATCTGTGAATGTATAAAGTGTTTAAATGCCTAAAGAGGGGAAGTTTCTGCAACATCATTAAAATCATACAGTGAGAAATGAAACTATATGCAGTTCTTTGGTTCAGTGAATGAAATCATCAAATTTGTGTGCTGAAAGTAGGAATAATGCCAGACAAATCAGAAAGGGAAACTTCAAATTGAAATTCCAATATATTGGAATTGTTACATACAGAACAAAATCTGGCCTTGGAACTTGATTTTTTTTTTTTTTTTTGTCTTGAATACTCAGTCACTTGGATGTGAAGCTATTCAGTGAGGCTCAGTGTGTGCTGTAAGGTTAAACAAAAGCATTTATTTATTCTAGAATTACTTGTAGATGTACTGAGTTGACCAAAGAAGTAATTCAGAGTTTTCTTAAAGCTTTGCTTTTGTCCTTTCCTCATGCCTTTACCAAGCATGAAGTTTTAGGAAATAGCAAGCCCAAATTTAAGAACTTTTGACTTGAACTGCACCTCATCAAGGGGGATGTCCCAGTCTCTCTTGCCCTTGCTTGTAGAGAAGCTCCTGTCTGTGCAAGCCTAGGCACGATGTGAATTAGGTTCTTTGATTTGAGTATGAAATATTGGAGAAAGAAGCAGTGAAACTGGCGTGTGTTTTCCCTGTCCTGTCCAGACTTTGTTTTTAGGGGAAAAAGAGCACATTCATCTTACCAAGGGTTCTTCAACAGCTTGTCCTATAGTGAAGTGCTGGGTTTCTGAAGGCTCCATTTTCTTTCATGTGTGCTGTGAGGACCAGAAAGAGTGAAATGAGTGTAATGATGGAAGGGAGCCCAAGAAGGATGCTGAGATCACAGATTCCATCTTTCTGTTCATTCTTTTGCTACTCTAATGCTTTGTAGTTACCTCCATATAATCCAGTCTAGGCTTAGTACAGTTAACACTCTAGTATTGGGCTGGTATTTTGTGGGTTAACCTGATTTTCAGTGCTGGCTTTGCCATTGAATCTTTCAGTTCAATACCATAGGATCCTGGATACAGTGGAGAGGAGCCTTTGGTAATTGCTTGACATCTCCATGTGGAATTGGTCGCTTCTCTCACAAGTTGTTTCAAAGTGCAGACCACTTGTCTAGATAAAATAATCTTGAGACTTTGACATCATATGGTTTAAGAGTGAATCACATTTTCATAGTAAGATCTGACTGGAAAAAAAAAAGACTAAAAATGTTAAGCCAGAGTCCTCTGGGAATCTGGTGCCTTTAACAAAAACTGTCATTTTGTAAAATGTCACATCTATAGCATAGCCCGTATGTTTTCTATTGGTTTTTGTTTGGTTTTTTTGTACAGATGTAAATTCAAAATATTCTGTCTTTGGGTACGTATTTTCAGTGTAATACAGTATGTATAATAAAAAATTTAGATTTTCTAAGGAAGTTGACTGGTGCTCTTCTTAATAATCAAGTTGTTCATTGTACTAACAGTGGTACTGCCAGCCTGAGACCAAACAGCCAAACTGCCTGATGTTGTGTATCTTTCAGATTTGTAGCATTGTTTCTATAGGTGCATTTCAGAGTTAGCATTTCAAAGCTGACAAGTGCTGGTTTTGCTGGTTTAGGATATTTGTGAGTAGATTTACTGCAATGCCTGCTCCTGCTCTGTGTGTGGGTTCACTGAAAGCTGGTGAGCCCTGGGTGCTGTGTCTGCAGTGTGTGGGTGTGCCCATGCCGAGATCTGATGGTGTAGGAACATCTGCCATGGCCAGGTTCTGTGGATGTGTATGGAAGATGAAATAAACCCTGTTCTTCAACGCTGCCTTTATCTGAATTGCAGCAATGGTGGCTTCTCTCAGTTTGAGTGCTGCAGAAGGTGAGTGTGTTTTGGCATTGGTGGATTTTAGTGTGGGGTTTGTTGTGGGTGTTTAGCAACTGTTTTCATGCTCATGTACTGTTCCTAGGGTCTGGTTCTGTGATAAGCACAAAGGTTTGTCTTACATTGTTATGTGGAGATGTGTGGCTGGCCTTATCCCAATTTCCCTATGTGCAGCTGTATGAAATGGCTCTGTTCCACTTGCCTGTGCTGGGATGGTGCCAGACATAGTCAGAAGTTTTTCTTTTCTGTGTCAAGATGACCTTATCAAATAGCCAGGAAGGGAATTCTGTTCCAGGTCAGATGCTCTGGTAGGATGCTTAGGACAAAAGCTTTAGGAGAGGCTGAGATCCACACTTCATTTGTTATTTCATAGGGGTCTTGCTCTCTGAGATTTCCTGGTGCCTAGACCCTGATACACTCCACATGAACAAGATTGTGCCACTTCACCTGCCTGCTGAGGCTGGCCTGGGCAGAACCAGACCCAGCTGTTTTTAGCAATCTCTGTGCTACTGACAGCTGGTACAAGGCTGTAGGGGATTTAATCTTTAGGATGTTGCTCTAGTGATAGCCCTTAAGGCTGATGATGGACCAAACATCTTCCCTACCTGCACAAACCTGTGCCAGATGCTGTCCTGTGTTCCAAGTGCCTTTAGACAGAGCTTGGACATCTCAGCCCCCACTCCTCTCCCTGCCACGCAGGTGTGTGTACAGGCTCTCCTGAGACCAGGAAAGGGAAAATGAGGCAAGAAGCAAAACCCGACTGTTCTAAAGGAAATGAGGTGACTGTTTCCAGAATGTGCTGTGTTTCAAGGTACTTGTATTGTACCATCCCTGGAATTGCTCAAGACCAGGTTGGATGGGGCTTGGAGCAACCTGGTCTAGTGGAAGGTGTCCCTGCCCATGGCAAGGACGTTGAAACGGAATGATCTTTAAGGTCCTTTCCAACTAGAAACATTCTGGGATTCTGTGACCTTTTCCTGAGGAACTTAGGGAGATTCCTTTATTTGGCTTTCAGAATGTGGTTCCTGTGTATTTGGTTTTATAATATACTTATTCCTTCCTGGTAAAAATTTAATGAAAACAGAAAGCAGTCGTTTTCTCTGAATAGTTGCTTGAACCCCTCGCTAGCATGTAAGCTTGGCTCTAGTGCCTGCCCCATTTGGTGTCACTGAAATCCATAGTCTCTCTCCTTTTTCATTTTCATCTTTCAATTAATTTTTTTTTTAATTGGCTGTTTCCTGAGATAGAAGAATTGGCAAGACAAGCTGTTCTTGTGCTAAAATTTAGGTTTTTGATCCATTGATCCAGAGCTGTTGTCCAGGGGAGGACAAGCTGTGCTCAATGGAAGGTGTTTCCTCCTTCCTTCCCCCAAATGCTGCAGTCATGAACAGCACAGGCAACACCCCCTGCACTTCTTCTGCCTAAAGCACCAGCTGGGTTTGACCTGTGTTCTTAGAACTGACTGACACCCAAATCACACTGGTCCATTTAAGACCACCTTTTTAACTGATGGGGGAACTAAATAAAAATTAAATGTTCTGTGCTGCTTGTGAGACAATAAACTTCTAGCCTCTGTATATGATTATGGCTGGCTAAACCATCAGCTCCTTGCTGCAGTACACCACCTTTCCTTTGGCTAGCTCTGCTCTTTTTGTTAGTATTCCTTCTAAACCCAGACACAGAAGAAACACATTAAAGAAAAAAAAAAGGGGTGTGAGGTTTTTGTTTCAAACTGACTCTAATAACTTTTCTTTTTACTTAAATTCCTCCAGCTCCCTTTTGTGGGTTTCGTTACTCCGCCTCCACATCAGCCACTGCTGCCGGAGGTTTCTGCGGGCGCAGTTTGGGAAGAGCCGCTGCCAAAGGCAGATTTTGGGTGAGGTGGTTTTGGTGTCCCCTGCCCAGCGCAGTGGTGCCATCGCGTGGCCATTCGCCCACAAAGAAGTTTCGCCGTCCAGAGCACAAACCCCTGTGTGTTCCTCTGGGAACAGTGGTGATGCTTTGTTGTTTGTTTTTTTTTTCTTCTCACCTCTGTAGGAGTGTCCTGGCCCCATCTTGGGCGCAAAGCTGTTGACTGCTTGTTAGACCTGCATCCCTGAAGCCTGGGCACCTGTCCTGTTTTATGGGAGTCAGTGGATATACCTTGGAATAACCTTGCACCTAAAAAGGCTCTGGATTCACTGTGGCTTCCCAGCACAGCCCTTGGGTTGGTGCATCCCAGGGGGTCAGGAGTATCTGCAAGTGATACCTGCAGCTGGTACCTCTTCTACACACAGCTAGGTTTGGGTAGGAATCACAACTTATATTGCTTGAAGAAAAGTCTTTTCCAAGAAAAAGCCCTTGTCAGAATCCAGCTTGCACTCTGCCTGAATATGTTGCTCTTTCCCAGCAAGAGCAGCAGCTCGGTCCACCCCCATTTTCTATCTCAGCAACGCTGCCAAAGGACCACAGTCCTGTCAAATAGCTGGATACAGCACACCAAGCACCACATTGTTCTCAGAGTCATGGAAACAGGACAGCTTTGCTGCACCTTGCTGGCCTTGGAGCGTGACAGTCATTTGCTACTCCAACAGGTGTCTGCTAAGCCTAGTTCACCAGAGTGCAGTGGAGTGGTGGATAACTGCACAGAGCCTAATCTGAGTCTAGAGGAGGGCCAGGAAGGTCCTCAGAGGCCTGGAGCAGCACCTTTGCTATGAGGACAGGCTGGGAGAATTGGGGTTGTTTAGCCTGGAGAAGGGAAGGCTCCAGGGAGACTTTACAGCACCTTCTGCTACCTCAAGGAGCTATAAAAGAGCTGGAGAGGGACACAAGGACACATGGTGATAGGACAAGGGGGAATGGCTTTGTACTGAAAAGGTACAGGACTATATTAGTTATTAGGGGAAAAAAAATCTTAACTGTGAGGATGGTGAAGCACTGGAGGTGGTTACCCAAAGAACCTGTGGTTGCACCATCCCTGGAAGTGTTCAAGGTTGGATCAGTCTTGAAGCAGCCTGGTCTAGTAGGTGTCCCTATCCATGGCAGGCGGTTGAAAGGAGATGGTATTTAGCTGTACCTGTCAAGCCAAACCACTCTGCTCTCCTCTGCTTGTAGTTAACACCTTCCTGACCTTCAGGAGTCACCTAGTGACCGACCATTTCCAGGCTGATGGATGTGACAGTCCGCTGTCAGCTCATACACTCCTCTCTGCACTGTCCCCACTGCAGGTGGGACCTCACCTGGGGATTTTCACCCTCACAGCACTTAGTCACATCCCAGCTGACAAAAGCTGAGACAGTGGCAGGTCACAGGTGACACTGCAAAGAATGCTGGTGTTTGAGAGTCTTCCTGCTCAGTGTTTCTCACTAAGCAGGCAGCTCTGCTTGTAAACAGATCACTTGGATATCTAACACCCAGGGGACTTGCAGGCAGTTAATGCAGAGCACTGTGGTGGTCCTTGGGTTTCTAAAACCTGGGAAACTCAGAAATCCAAGTCTGCCCTCAACAGACAAAACCTCTTATGGCACATCCTTTGCTTGTTCAGCTGGGATGGATCAGGACAGCCTTGGACAAGAGCTGTCCTTTCCAGGCTGGGCAAAGCCAGGGAGTTGGCACAAGCTGCTGGAGTGTTTGCACAGGATGCTGTGTTCTTGGGAGAAGCATCGTTGTTCCTGTCTCTGCCCTGTATGCTTTGAGGGTGGAGGGCACTGTCTGGTTTGTTTGGGGACACAAGGTCTGCCAACTATGGAAGAGCAACAGAACTGACAAGATCAGGGCCCTGTGCCAGCCTAGGACATCACTTTTGATAAACCATGACACTGCTTTTTGTTCTCTGTGAACCAGCTAGCAAAAGCATTTAATCTCATTGGAGACAGGCCCAGGCAGGTCAGGAGTTTATGAATCTGTCTGTTTGTACTTTTCTGCCCTGAAGTGGCATTAGATTTTCCCCAGCAGAAATGTATTTCCAGCTTGCCCTATTGCTAAAACAGTTGAGAGGAAAGCAGCCTATCTCATCTCTCACCTGGGCTCTGGTAGCTCAGCCAGAAAGGGGGCTCTGAGGGCACAGGAAGGGTTTTAATGCACAATTTCCCGTTCTCTTCCATGTGTAAGGCTGAAACTGACAGTGAAAGTGCTGCCACATCCAGTTCTGGGCTGTTTTTCCAGTGTGTACATGAGTGCTGCAGCTGCTCAGCCAAGGTGTGACATGGTTCTGGGACTGGGGAGTGTGGGAAAGCTCCCCACTAACCAGGGGGTGCAGCTTGTGGGATAGAGGGGACTGGTCTGCTGCCAGATTCCTTAGCAGGATCAGTCTCACTGGGTAATTGCTGGCAGTGTTTTAGCAGTGCCCAGAGCTGCTCCATCCTCAAATGCCGCTCCTGCAGAAATTGTCTCTCACTGCAGAACCTCAGCCCACTGGGGAGTGGATGGCCCTGCACAGCTCTGGGTGGAACAGGTTCTTTACACAGACGGAGATCAAACATCCCGTGCAGAGGTTTGCACAACCTGTAAAGCCAAGCAGAGCAATGTCACATTCAGAGCTCTCCTGCCTGCAGGGAAGGGGCAGCACTCAACCCACCCCTGCCTTGTCCTGAGCCACTGGGCAGCGTCTCTGAGGGGCTGCCAGGGCTGAGCCTGGTGCTTGCTTGTGATCACTTGGCAGTCATCAGTTCAGGTTACTCTATCTGACAGTGTTAGGAGCCAGCTGGTCACAGTCTGACCTCCACCCACTCAAACTGGTGATAGCAGAGTGGAGGAGGCTGCCCTGTCTCCATGCAGTTCCCACGAAGCAGGATGGTTAGGCAGAGACTGTCACTGCCAGAGACAGGAGGACAAGAAATTGTCCCTGGCCCCAAAGTGACCCCACCTGGGCCACTGTGGGAAAAGCCAGAGGAAAGCCTGAGGGTTTGTGTTAGAGCAGGCTACTTTTGGCTCATCATGTTGGGCCCTGCTGAGGATCCTGGAGCACACGGGGCACGAGCAGTGCATGAGAGGACCTGATCTCACTGAATGTGCAGCTGTGGGGGCTGTGTGTGGAGCATCCACAATCCCGTATGAGTCGCTCTGTTCCCTCAATTTGGGCAAAGAGGTGACATGTGAGGTGTGGCATTCAACTGAATGCTAAAGGAAATCCTCTCACAGTGGGGGCTTGGCAATGCTGATTGCTGAACAGTGGGGGCAGAGGGAAAGGGGGATCTTTCAAAGCAGGGCTGCAAGGTAAGGAAAACATGGGGACATCTGTGTCCTCATGTGGCCCAGCAGGCAGTACAGACACTGGAACACATGGAAAATGGAGTGGGGCCCCATTAAACTTAATGCTCTCTCCTCAAAATCGTCATCAGGATCTGTGAGCTTGGTCCTGATAACAACTTGATGCATCAAGGTGGACACGGTGGGGCAATGGGGGAGGGAGGGGGAGTGAAACGCTGGTTGGGAAAGCTCTGTGCTCACCAGAGGCTGCAGCGCGGCTGGCCCCAGTTAAAATGGGAAGTCTTCGGGGTTGTTTTTCTTGTTTCTCCTCTCTCAGGAAATCTCGTGGGTCTAAAAAACGAAATCCTCTCACTTGACGAGGTCACGGGGGGCTGGCCCGCAGCCAGGCTGGGTTCCCATGCTGCTCTGGCCGTGCTGCCGGGGAGCCCATCACATCCTCGGGCACTGCTCACACGATTTCTGCAGCTCTGGGGGCTCCTCTGGCTGCCCGGCTCGGCTCGGACCTGTTGCAGTCTCCCAACATAAAACCCCCTTTGTTGGGGCGAGGATGACTTGACAGAGCCACATGATCAGTCAGGTGACAAAATTGGGCACCAAAGCGGAGGAGAATGAGCGGCTGGGTGAGGGCTCTGCCTGCTGATCCTGCCTCTGGACAGGCTGCGTTACTCCTCAGGGAAAAATGAGCGCCTGGCTCTGTCCTCTGCTGTGGAGCTTCACCGTGGTGTGTTTAACAGGTAAGGCCTCCCGACAGAGGGTTTCCCTTCCCTGGCTGAGCACAGTGAAGAGAATGTGCTCTTCATGGGGCTGAGGGAGCCCTGGGCCCCACCATGGGTGTGGTGTGGGCAGGCCTGGGGGAAGGAGGGAAGTGCTCAAACACGGGCAGTGTTGGAAGTGGGATGCGTGCGGTAAATACAAAAATTTTACAGGAAAAAAAAGAAATAGAGTTGTATTACTCTGCATAGTGAGGATTTGCAGAGGCTTTATCTTAGAGCCCAAGGAACAGGATGCCTGATGGTAGGTCGGGAGAGATCAGCTCTCTGTCCTTCCCTGACTTCCTCAAGGCTCCTGTTCGTACCAAGGTGTCACATGCAAAATAACATCCTTCAAGTTCCCCTGGAGATACTTCAGGTGATTCACAGTGCTCCTTCAAGAAAAAAAAAAAAAAAAAAAAGGCTCTAGAAAGCAAAATTGCTGTTCCATGACAGTGTAAGCGCAGGAGAGAAAATGCTTTGTCTGATGAAGTTGAGGTTGTTTGAGCACTGTTTTTTCACACCTGTGACTGACTATGACTGGTAAAATACACAAACACTTAATTTGTGCTCAAAACTGTTTTTTCAGCGTTCTGACTTCTTTTTTTTTTTCTCCAGAAGTTGTTTGAATGATTAAGAAATACTGGATACCAAAGGTTATTGATGGTTACTGAAGTTTTGGGAACAACTTTACTACTTTTGGTTAAAGTGTTATGGAAAACTACTTTCCATTTTAAAAAAATTCCTCTTAAGAGCACCACCATTTGACATTCGAACCAAACAACCAATGAAACATGCTCAACTAAAAAAACCCAACAACAGCAAAATTCATCCAGCTATGGGCAGTCCAAGTTGTTGAAACCCTGGCTGGCAGAGTTGAGCTCTTGGGGTCAGGAGGGAGCTGTGGGAGATCAGACTTTGATCTCGGAGGTCCTTCTGAAAGGTTTTCCCTGGGAATTTGACATTGCCCTTACCTTACTTCTAGTGTTTACATTAGGATTCATTTAATGGATCCCAGGACTGACTCTGTTGCCGGAGGTGAGGAAAAAGCAAACAGACTGGCTTCAACCCTTCAGGCACAAGAGTCAGATGAGGGGAATTGTGCATCGTGGTTCTGGGTGGAGGCTTGGCCACAGTAGCAGTGTTCTGTGTGGGCACCATGGAGCTGTTCTCCCTGCCTTGGACCAATGCTGGCACCTCTGTCCCTTGAATTTGAGCCTGGGGCAAACCAGTGTGTTACAAAATGATCACTGTTAGATTTGGTGTCTCTGTTTTAGGGCCACAGCAAGAAAATTAGATATGTTCAGTTGGTGGTGAACATTATTGGCACAGCTAATAATGCCAAGTTGTGGGTTTGATCCACATATGGACCATTCTCTTTAAGAGTTGAAGCCCATGATTCTCTGGGTCCCTTCCAACTCAGACTGTTCTGTAAATTCTTTAAAACCTGGGCAGGTTTTAAAGCAAGATGGCTGGGTGCTCATCTACTCAGTAGTTACACCAAGATGGATTTTAGCACAAAGCAGGCAGTCAACAACAGGAAGGAGCACTCCCAGCAAACTGTTTCCATGTGATCACAACCTTATAAAGACTCTTTTATCCAGTGTCCTGATCCTGGTGCAGAACTTCAACAGGAGCTGCCATCAGCTTGGTCTGCATGTTGATGTTTGTACCATGGTAGTGCTGAGCACTGGTGCCCACAGTGCCTAGCTTTGCATGGTGGGTACAAAATTAAGAGAGAAATTAAATGCTGGGGGAAAGCCTGCAGGGATGTGGGTCTGAGACCTGACAGCTTGTGCTGTCATCCTCCTTGTCCTTCCTCACCTACATCCCACTATTGGGTGTCAGCTGCGCTCTTTGACCTCCTGGAAAACCATAAACCAATTTCTTAGGAGTCCTTGTGTTTTCTGTGCCACTGGGCATGGATTGGCAAGGGGGCTTAGCAGGTGTGTGCTTGAGAGAGCATTTACACGCCACAGTTTCAGCTCCAGCTGCCTACTGGAGCTGTATAAGGTTGGGTGTTTTCAGAAGTTGCAGTAAATACTGAGGAAATCCCTGCCCTCCCTGAGTTCCTGAACCCAGCTGGTGGCACAGCTGCTAAAGCAGGAGCTGCCTGCTTTGGTTTTGCTTTTCTTCCTTTGCTTAGTAGTACACTGCTAAATTAACAATAACCTGCTGCTTTCCATCAGCAGATGATGTTCCAGTCCACCCTGTATCACAGCAAAACCACCTGAGCTGCAGCAACACCTCCTTTCTCTACAGATTTCATCAATCCTCACTCTGATGAGGGATTTCAGAATTAAAGCAAGTCTTGGCCCACAGGTTCCCTTCTGGTTACTGGATGTACCACCAGAACAGCTTTAAAAAGCCCTGAGCCCATGTCTTTTTTTGGCTGATCTGTTTAAGGGAGATGGGATAAAGCAGTCAGCTACTTGACAAACATCTTCAATCAGATTGTCATGAGATCTCAGAGTAAACAGTCTCAAGGAGCTAACAAAACTGACTGTTCAGGCAATTCTCACACCACCAGTCAGACCTCCCAGACATTGGCATTTACTTATTTGTGGCCTCATGGACACACTAATCTATTTCTTTGGTAAGTCTCTCATGTGCCAGACATGCTCAGATGCTGCTTCAGCTCCTTGCTCTGTAGTGGAACACAGAGCAGAGGGGAGTTTGTGGACATTAAACAAGGATACATGGTTTAAACAGTTGATAAAGACCTAAATGAGAAGACATTATTAAAGGGAGAACAATAATTCAGCCACTAATTGTTTTTTCTTCTCTTAGGTATTGCTTCAGGCCAGACAACCAGCACTGAGGTCCCAGTTACATCAACCCCAGCACCTCCCAGTGCAACCAGCACTGAGGTTCCCATTGCATCCACCCCAGCACCTCCCAGTGCAACCAGCACTGAGGTTCCCATTGCATCCACCCCAGCACCTCCCAGTGCAACCACTGCTACGGCCTCTTCTCCCCCAACTGCTCCTGCAACACTCTCAGCTGGACTGACACCAACCACTGCAAACCCTGCTGCATCCACAGTAGCTCCATCTGCTGATCCAAGCACAAACACCCCTGCCCAGACTCTGCCCCCCACCATGGGGACTGTCCCCACCTCTGGCAGCAGTGCCACCTCTCAGGCATCTTCAGCAGTGACGGCCACATCCAGCAGTGCCCCAGTGTCCCCTCCAGGAGTGACCACATCCCCTGGGCTCCCGTCCTCAGCTCCGCTCCCCAGCACCCCCCAGCCCTCCAACTGCAGCAGAGTGAATGTGACAGCCTGTGCCCCCTGCCCCCCAGGGACTGTCCCCACCCAAGGTAAGGGTCCCCACTCCCGCCTTCCGTGTTAGAGGAAAAGGGATTTGTCAGGGGAGGTGGAGCCAGCACTTGTTCTTGTATTGGAAGCTTGGATGGGCAGCAGGAGAGGGATTTAATTCATTTCACCCTTCTGAAATCAAAGACTTAGTCTTTCTTGGCCTTGTGCTGTGTTTTGGTCCTTCTGAGGCTTCCCCAGTGGGGTGACAAAGTAGTTGGATTGTGGCACAAAGTGTAAGGCGAGTACAGTTTGATTTATTAGCAGAACATAATTTTGGGCTCCAGGGCCAAATACAAGGTCAGTTTCCAGCTGTCTCAAATGTTTGAAAGAGAATCTCTGCTACAGAGACAGCCTTTTTCCATGGCCTTGAGAAAATACTTGATCAACCTCTGTTGTGGTCAGCAATGCATAATATAACCTTTCCCAGAAGTTACTTGTAACATGGTTGGGTTCTGGTTTCAAACACCACCCCACTCAATCCCACAAAAAAAAAAAGTCAAAAAAAGAAAATAATTATCCAGGATACAAACCACACACTTTTTGCTTATTCCCTTCACTGCAGGGCACTTTTTAAAAGTAGCTCTGATGGTTTAGGGTGAATCTGCAGAGGACAGAAGTTATCTCCCACCTTCCTTTTGTGAAGGATCTTTGACGGGGCCTTCTCCTCTTGTCTGTATTGGTGGTGCAGCTGCAATAAATCCCACCCAATTCCTCTGTGTGGCTGGGACTGGTTTTGTGGAGCAGAGAGGGGTAGAACTTGCCTGCTGGGAATGCCATGGTACCTGTGCACAAAGAAAAGCTGTTGCTGCTTAAGGCAGATCCTTGACTTTGGGCCTTTACTCATCAGTTCTGCTTCCTACAAGCTTAAATTATCAGTAATCTAAAGAATTATATTGGTTTCTTCTTTTTTTGTGTGTCTCTTTTTTTTGTGTGTTGGAGGGAAAACAAGGAAAATTTTCCTGGCCCCTCAAATTAAAGAAGGAAAAAGCAGTCAGCTAAATTACTGGAGAGCCACACTGATAGCCTTAACTCCCTAGATCATCTTATGGCTGCTCTGCAGTTTGCTAACAGTGGACAGCAGCCTAATTGGCATGGACATTGCAGTTTCTACCCTTTATGAGTGCCTTGCCAGAGGAGCTGCATCCCAAAGCTTCTGCCTTTGTGGCAGTGATGTGTCCTTGCAGACACAGGGGTTTCAGTCAAGTCTTGCAATCCTGACCCTGAATTTTTGTCCCAATTTAGGCACCTTGAGCTGTTCGTGCTGCGCGGGGGGCTCGTGCATTGGTCCCAGTGCCTGCAGCCCCTGCCCACCTGGCCACTACCAGCCCCAAAGTGGGCAACCATCCTGCCTGCCCTGCCCACAGGGGTATTACACCAGGTGAGTGACTGAGCCCCTGAGCATGGGGACTGGGTGCTAAACCACAAAACACTTCCCAGCCAGAAAAATCTCTTCCTTTGGGCTGTAGGAAAAGTGCTGCCAGGGTTGTTTCTCAGAGGCTAAATTCTCATCAGGAAAGCTTGGTGTGGATATGCTTGTGCTGAGGACTGCTCCTCTGTGGGCTTCCCTTTTTTACCCTCATGCCTTTTGTCTGCACTGAGGGAACATGTTGTTTTGTGGTGGGGAGACACTTGGCAGTGAGGTGTGGATTCATCTCCTCAGCTCTAGGATATGCCTGACAAACAGGCTCCATCTCCCTGCTTTGCCCAATTACTTTCTCAATCCCTGTTTTCTTGCCCCCAAGGCATCTCATTACATTTGAGTTGCTGGCATCTAAAGCAATACCCTCAGCTGATGTAATGTGGAAAAGCTGACAAGACATCCCAGCCAGGAGCCCAGTCTTGCAATTCCACCAGGCTGACTGATCCAGGGATGCTGTACAAGTGTCCTCTGGCTGTGGGGACATGTGCATGTGCTGCTCTCTCCACTCGATCAGATTTTCTCTTGCTGTATCCATGTCGAAAACAGTGGGCTGTGTCCTTTGTGGGGTAGCAAGGACAGGAGGGGTGGCAAGAGCCCCCCAGAACTGTGTCCATTGCAGGGCAGCTCCATTTGGATCATTCCTGGGCTGTAGGAAGGGTGACCTGGCTATGCAGTTTGTTTGCAGCAGCCCCTGAGTTTGAGGTGCCAGCAGGATCTCCCTCTGTGCTCCCCTCTGTGCTCTGCCCTTGCAGTTTGTGCTGTGAGGACCTGACTTAAAAATGTGCCCCCAAATTGCTTTAAAAAGCAGCCAGGAGCAGTCTCCAGGGCACACAGAGCTGCTGCTCTTGGCATGGGGGAGAGGGCCAGGGAGCAGAGAGGCTCAGGCAGCAGTGCTGGGCTGGTGTGTGCCAGAGCAAGGACCAAAACTGGGGGGATCTGGAGGGGACCTTGGGGGTGCAGTGTGTGCCTGGCCATCTCCTGGTGGCTGCCTGGGCCTCAGGGCTTCAATGGGACCATTTAACATTTCTGTGGTATTAGGAGAATTTGGCCTCCCTGCAGCTTTGAGCAGCTCTGGCTGGTGCAGGCCCTGTGTTGGTTTGTTTTCAGCAAAGCATTTGCTGTGTTTCCAGTTGGTTTTGGGGTTTTGATTTGTTGGTTTTTGGTGTTTTTTTTTTTCCCTCCAAATCTCATGCAGCCTTACAGTTTCTGAAGGAATTAAAGAGCATGTCCTTGTTTTCCTCCAAAGCATCTCTGAGTATTTTATCAAATTCCTTTGATAAGGAATTGAGGGGGATTTGACTCTGTTAGTGATGAATGTAAGAGCTTCCTCTTTCCCTGCCTTTGCCTCATTTCCTCCCCCTCCTCCTGGAGGTCTGACATATTGCCCCCCTTTTCCCACAGTCCCTGCTATTTAAGGTCAGGGCTCTCACAGGTCACTGCCTGTGGTTTAGGTCCTTTTTTCAGCTCCTGATTCCCAGCAACAGAGCAGCTCCTTTTGAAATGGATGCTAAACAGCAAACACCTTTCCTATTCTATTTTCAAGATTGAATTTAAGAGTCTGACTTAAGCCAAGGGTTTTCAGTCTGACCACAGCGTGTTTTTAAAGACCTTCAATTCAGATGGTCCCTTTCCATATTGCCCACAGGCAAAGGGCATCTCTAATGTTAATAATACAGAAAATTTCAGTTTTTTAGTGAACCTTTTATATTCAGGTGAGTTCAAACCGATGTTTTTCTGCCTGAACTCCTTTTTCATAATTTCTCTATTTCTAGACTAGTCTGTGACATGTTCTGCTCTGTCTTCTCCAAGTGGATAGAGGCTTGGGTGACCTAAAATTGTGTTCCACTGTGCTCCCTTCCCTGCCAGCTTCCCAAGGAGCACTGTGTGTCTTCCCTGCCCACCAGGACATTTTGCTAATGAGTCTGGGGCTGCAGCCTGCAGAGCCTGTGAGCGAGGTAGGCTTTGGTCTGTGTTTAACCTCAATGCATTTTCATCACATGATGCTTTTTCCCAGGGGCAGATGCAATTACCAGGTAACTTAAAAGCACTGAAGTGTAAACAGGCTAAAAATATCCAAGCTGATCTCTTCCCTATTCTGTTGTTATTAAAATTAAAAGAGCAGATCTCAGCCATGCTTGTTTTTCCAACAAGTTAATGCTAACTCTGCAATGGAAGTCAGGAAAAAAGTTTTATGAAATTCAGTTTTAGCACAAGGGGGAAGCGCTGTCAGGAAACAAAATATTCTCTATTTCTGATAGCAAAAATGAGTCTAAAGCATCTTTGTTTTCATTTAGACAATCTTCTGCAGTCTGAATGTTAAGTGTAATACTCTCCTTGTTTTCCACACATTAAAACTGGGGTTTTAAAAAGGAGCTGCTTTGCACCTGGCTAATGCCACTCAAGCCTGGTGTAATGTGTTTGCAGATGGGGTAACAGCATGTGCAGAACAGAACAGCACTTACCTATGCAAAACCCTAATTAACACATGCAGTGCAGCAGCTCCTCTGCACCCAAAGTGGGGTCCTGCTTGAACATGCACAACTGTTCTTTGAAAATCCACCCACTGAGCTGCTGGGCTGTACCTCAACCTTGGCTGTCACTTGCTGAGTTTGGGAACAAAATCTGACTGGTGACAGCGATGGGGTCTGTCAGTCCCTTTACTCAGCAGATTTAAACACTGTGTTAGACAACAGGGGGCTCTGTGGGGTTTGCCCCTCAATTCTGCAAGTATAAATGTAAAAAGTTCCTTTTTCCTTGCAGGGAGAGGGGAGGTGGGTTTGTTTTCATCCTGCTGTGCCACAGCCTCTCCTGCCTAGTGCAAATCCAGGTTTGAGGCAGATCTTAACCCACATCACGTCCAATTCCTCTCTGAACCTTAGCTCTGACCACGTTGTGCATCATCAGGCACCTCCAAACCCACCTGAATTCCCAAGTGCTGCTCTCTCAGCTTTCCTAGTGGTGTAGTGGGACTCACAAGTTGGGTCTTGCTGGCCCCTGGGCACTTTGGGGCACTTCACTCCTTTTTGTGCTTTGGGAAGGGTCTGTACATGTCCTCCTGCCCATCCTGCTCCTTGTGGTGCAGGGAGGGAGGCTCTGCTGCATCTTGGCTGGTGGGTCTTGTGTCCTTCCTTTTGCAGGGAAGAAGATGCACCCCAGACTTCCTGGGGTGGGGGAAGGCCTGGAAGGACTGGGGTGACCAGAGAAGTTTCCCCAGGCCAGAGACATGCTCCAGCTGAATAACTTGGGAGTTGGCACTGGAATCACCTGTTCCAGCTTCATTCCAGTTCAGCCTGTGGTGCTGGGAAGGGTGACAGGTTTCTCTGTCTCCTTGGCATGGTTTTGAGTGATGTGAGATTCACCAGGGGAATCTGCCAGAGCCCTCCATGCATCCCTCAACATGGCAGAGGACAGCAGGGAACTTCCATTGCTCTTTCAGAGCTTTTGACAAATATAACCCCAAATGCCCTGAAATGCCACTTGAAGCATTTTGTGGGGAGTTGTTTGGTTGTTTGTAAAATGTACATGAGCACATTCACAGTGATGTGGGGCAGAGATGTGGAGGTAGGATCCTGAAGCCTTACCCTTCTCTTTTTCAGGCTATTTTAGCTCCAAGCAAAATGCAGCTTTTTGTCTGCCTTGCCAGCCAGGATCATTTTGCAAGTAAGGAGCCTCCTGGGGTGCAGGATCTCAGATGGGCAGGGATGGGGACGTTCCTTTTAGCCACTGAGCTGGAACCACCAGTGTAGTGCCCAAAGACAAATCACCTGCCATTTCAGCTGTAGGCTGGGGCTTGAAGCAACCTGGTCAAGTGTCCCTGACCATGGCATGGGGGTTGGAGTGAGATGATCTTTAAGGTCCCTTCCAACCCAGACCATTCTGTGGTTCTGTGTGAGAAGCTGCGGTGGAGAAAGACACCCACAAAATGGCAAAGGTTCCTGGAGGCTCCAGTTTGTAAGAGCTGGCTTTGGTGGGCTGGGCTGGTGTTGGAAATGCTCATCCTACAGCGTGTCCTGCCTGCTCTCCCCTGCCAGCACCACCAGCTGCTCGGCCTGTCTGTCCTGCCCCGGCGGGCAGGAGGCTCCTCGGGAGGCGTCGGAGGGGTGCGAGTCCTGCCCGCCAGGTAACTGCAGCGGGAGGGAGGCTGTGCCCGCCGGGAGCACAGCTCCAGCTCATTCCAGACTCCTCATCCGGCCCCGGGGCTGCAGGTGCCCTGCAGAGCAGAGCTGTGCCCTGGCAGGGAGGGATAGTGCCGGGAGGTTTGGCTGGGAGCTGTGCCAGACCTTCCTGCCGGGCTGGTTAATGCCTTGGAGCTGTGCTGGTGCCCAGCATGCCAGGGAGCCCAAATCCACAGCAGGGTAACAGCTCCAGCAAAATCACCTGTGTCGGTGGTGGTGACTTTGCTGAGGAAAGCACAGCCTTGCTGCCAGAGATGGATGTTCTGCAGGAGCAGCCTGGGGCAGAGGGACAGGGCCCTGCTCCCTCCTTCCCCTCTGTCTGGCACAAGCCTCGGCAGCTGAGCCGGCAGGGCTCGGGCACAGCGCTCCGGCCACCCCCATGGCAGGGGCCAGCCTCCAGTCTGGACACAGCCCCAGGGGTGTCTCACAGCCAAGCTGCATTTTAAACGTGCAGGAAAGCATTTTACCACTTTCAGACTTGGAACTTCTGTGACCTGTCTCTCCCACAAAGCTCGGGAAACTGAGCTGTGCTTTGAAGTCTGCTCAGTGAGTTTCAAACAGCTGGAAAAGGTTTTTGAATCCAGAATTGGAGAGGATGAAACACTGCTGACCTCCAGCTCCCATTTTCCCCTACATTGAAGTCAGAACTCACTGCTAAACCCCTCTCCCACGTACTCCTACTCACACTACTCTGTTTGCCACGGTCTGACCCCAAATATTCTTTAGTCCCTCTATCCCTGTTTGTTCTGTTCTGACCCTTTGCCACCGAACCAGGACCAAAGTCCAGGCTCAGCTTTTGTTATGCACATGAGCACTTAATGCTCTTTCTCCCCGTGGCTTTGAAAGCCGATCCATCCATATGCAATTGCAAAGATCCCGGGGTTTAGTCTCAGACCTTCATATTGTGCTTATTTGCTATTTAGGTACATTCAAAGGCCCCAGGGACAACAGATGCAAGACCTGCAGGACAGGAGAGTACCAGCTACAGAGGGGCAAGGAGAGCTGTGAGCTGTGCCCAGAAAACCACTACTGCCCTGTGAGTCCCCACCAGCTGGGGACAGCCTGTGCTAGCCAGAGCTGTCCCATGACAAGCCAAATACACTTCAATTAACGCTTTCTTTTTCCTTGTAATCTGAGCTTCCTTTCTCTTAAACATAGGCAGGGCTGTGATACAGGGAGATGATTAAAATGACTCCAGGAGTGTGGCTTTGTGCCTGGATTGTGGTTTCTGCCTGCTCTTACTGGGGCACGAGGGGATGGTTGTGCATTAATGAGGGAGTTTGAGGTAGGGACTTGCTGTGTAACACCTTCTGCTCTTCCCCACCCTCTAACACTGCAGGGGTGGATGAAGCTGAATTTAATAATGGCAGGCTCATTGCTTTATTTGTTTTCCCCAGCTAATGATAAAATGTTACCTCCCTTTGCCCTGGTTGCCTTCTGTATTTTGCTGGTGCTGAGTTACTTCTTCTCTTGGGCAGAGCCCAGATGTGAAGCCAGTGAAGTGCCCTCCCGATGCCTTCTGCCCCAGGGGCAGCGTGGAGCCCTCCTACTGCATGGAACTCTTCCTGTACAAGGCAGGGGAGTCCTGCCAGCTGACCCCTGCCACCGTCATTGTCCTGGCCACCTTCTCAGCAGGTCAGTCTGGCTCCTCTCTGTCCTCTGGTAAAAGCCCTCTGCAGCTGTGGTGAACCAAGCACTCTCTGGGTGGTGTATTCTGTGTTTCTGGAAAGCTGGATTTCTAATGAAAGTTCTTCTGGCTGCTTTCATTGCCAGTGGCAGTCCTTTCCCTGCTCTGATGGAAGGTGGCACAGTGCTGAATGCTTCTTGTTTGTCCCTGGGAAGCAGGGATGTGTATGGGCCCTCAAACGGATTCCTTGGCTGCACAGAAGTAGGAAACAGGACAATTTCCTTTTGCTATGAGACTTTGTTTCCTGAAAGCATTCCTGCCTTAAGTCATGCCACAGCAGAATGGGGAGCTGCTGGCTCATGCAGTGTTGGTTGCATTGATGCCAAATGTTCCTTGTATCCAAGAGTCAGGAGCTGCTGAGTGTGGGGAGCATCCCTCCAGATGCCACCTGCTGTAAATTAGCTCACTAGGGTGAGCTTAATGAGTGGATGAACTTTTCAGCTGGGAAGCTGCACCATGAGTAATCATTCCAAAACAATTAATATGCATTTTTAGTCTTAGGAAAGGGAAAAATAGAGTTATCTCATTTTTAATCAAAGTTGGGGGGAGGTTTAATCAGAGAGTTATGATGAAAATTAGCAACTATTGGTGCTGTGGATTGCAAAAAGGGCAGATGAGGAAGCTGGGAGGAGGAATCTGTCTCCTGTGCCCAGAGAGATGAAGAGAAATCCCTAAGTGCCACTTACACTACCAGAGATGAGAATCTTGTGTCAAGAGAGCTAAGTCATAGAGATGAGTAAGCCATCAGAGGATAAAGAATATCCAACAAGGCTCATATTCACAGTTGCTATGTTTCAAGTGTATTTTAAGTACTTCCTGAAGACCCATTCTCCACTTGGCTGGCTGCTGTTAAAAGGAGAGGGAGGAAAGATTAAATACATGTGTTACACCCCACAGTGAACCAGACACAGCAAAGCTGCTTCTCCAACAAGAAAGCAACGTTCTCATCATACTTGTGTCCTGGCAGCTGAGGAGGGGACAAGGACAGCAGGGTCTGCAGGAGCTCTAGCAGCACTCTGACTGCTGTCTCCATGGGGCTGGAATGCCAGGGGGAAGTTCTCACAAGCTGTGGCTTGGAGCCATGAGAAAGGTCCTCCACTGACCCCCATCCCCTCATGCCAGGCTGTTGTCCAAAAATCTGCCAAAACAGATGCCATCTGAAGCGAGTATTAATTTGAAAAAGTAGATTAAACTGAAGGGTATGAAAAGACTGCCCAGAGAGGGACAATGGCCCATTAACCAGCATTTGTGATAAACAAGTCTGAGGGTCAGGGAACAGCATTCCTGCCTCTCCCAGAGCTTGCTGCAAAGAGGGGGAAAGGAAACAGCCCACGCAGGAACCCGTGAGTTTTTCACGGCTGGTCTCACAGATTAAGTGTTTACCATGAGGCTGTCTGCTCACACAACTGAAATTTGGGTGTATTTGTCTGGCCATATTGCATCACAGCGACAGATTTCTGCTCTTCTGTTCAGATAAATTTTCTCTGATGATGCTTCTGCCAGAAACAAACGAACAGAATGTCGCACTACTCGAGATTTGCCAATTACTTCCAAGTCTATGCCCAATCCAAAAGTAATTTTTCCTGACAGCTTTGATCTCAGTCTAGACTCAGAGTTAATCTATCTTAGTTACATCTTGTGCTTCAGTGTGAGTGCTGCACAGAGGAAACTAATTTCTCAACAAGATCCTTTTGGTGGGGTCTGCAGTGAATAAGATGCCAAGTGAAAAACAGTTCCAGAGAGTAGAGCGTAAATGGGAATAGGAAAGCAAGTTACTGAATGATTTCATTAAAAGTTGTTGTTATTCCTTGCAGAGTTAAGCTGAACTGCTGAAGCTGAGTGTTATTAGTGCTAGTGGAACCTTTTATCCCCCCTCTATTTTGGAGAGGGACAGAATATGTAGGAGAAAAAGCCCCTTATTTTATCAGAAGGGAATACCTGAGTTGAGAAGCCTTAAACATCACCTGACACTTTACCTTCCCCTCTGGGAATAACTACCATTCCTTTCCTTCCAGGTGGAATCTTTGTTGTCTTTCTAATAATTCTGAGAAGCCGACAAGAACATGGCACGAAATCCTTGAAGTCGCTGTTGCTGCCCCGGGGCTCAGGACACGCCACCTACGGGGGCACGGAGCACACAGAGCCAGTCTATGCTGGCTGGTAGCACAGGCCATGGCCAGCAGCCTCCCTTTCCCCTGGGGCAACACAGATGTAGCTCTGGGCAAGGTGTTTAACCATGAGCAACTTATTTCTGTATAGCTAAACTCAGGTGGGGAATAAAATCCAGTCTGTGAGTTGTGGCTGCTTGTGCAAACCAACCCAGCTCCCTGCTCTGCTGCACTGGGCTGATGGGAGAAGTCTTCCCCTTCCAGTTCTTGGCTTCTTTCACAAGTAAATACTTTTCTCCTTTATTCAGGGGGGAAAAACCCTCCAAAAAGCAATCAGTCCTATCTGTTTCTCTATTTTAATAGTCAGCTCTACAGAGTGAGAGTGACTGCTCCAGTTATTGAGGTCCCTCTGATACAACACTCACTTCCACTCAAACTAACAAACTAACATGAATATACCTCCTTTTAATAATATGCCATTTTTTATTTTGTTCCCCAGTCTCAGAGTTGTAGCATAAGCACAAGTCAAGGGAAGGGATCCTAAAGCTCTCCCCTTCCTTTCAGTTGTGGGCAAACATGTGCAACTAAAGGAATGGTTGATTCCTGGACAAATGTCCCTTTTGTTTCCTGCTGTCAGGTGGTGTTTCAGAGTGGAGCTACAAGGGAGCAGCATGGTGCAGGCACAGAAGATGCCTTGCACCTTTCTGCATGCTGGGGAGAGGGGCTGTAGGAGACCCACTGCCTCAATGCCTGGGCAAAGTTCTGTCCCTGATCCTGGACACTGATCCCTGATGCTGGACACTGCACCCCCCATCCAGGAGAGCAGCACGAGTTGTTTGTACCCATTTGCTGTGGCACTCCAAGCCCTCTGCTGTGCACCCAGCCCAGTTTAACCATCTGGTTAAACTAATGGGATTTGTATTTTCCAGAGATGATTCCTGTGTGTGCCTGGTTGACTCTTGTTGTTTGCTCTATGTCCCCTATTATATTTTTCTCTGGGCAATGCTTAGCCAGCATTCCAGGCAGTCAAAAATGCCCATCACCTGTGCTGGAGCCAGTGTCAATTGCTCCATGAAACCAGTACCTGTGGCCTCTTAACCTTCCCACCTTCTTTTCCTTTTCCTCCTGCAGTGACATTCCCACACAGGTGCTGTGTAAACCCAGCCAGCTGTGACCCTTTGTGTCAATGCTGTGCTTCACCAGCTCTCAGTGGCCAGTAAAAACACAATCTCTGTCACAAGAGCCACAATTTTAAATGACTCTGCACAGAGGTGGTAGCAGGTGTTGCTTCTCACTTAATCTTGCAGCAGCAGAGATGGCTGAAGGAACCCAGCTGGGGGGGGGGGGGGGGTTAAGTGGTTCCTGCTCATTCTCCTCTCCCCAGGGAAGCTGTTGAAAGTGTTTAAAAGGATTAATAAAATAAATCAGTTCTCTTATCTCTCTCAGCTCTGTCAGGTGAGTAACTGGTGCAGAAGTGGTACATCAGCCACTGGGCACACAAGTTGCCCGGAGAAGCTGTGGCTGCCTCATCCCTGGCAGTTTTCAAGGCCAGGTGGGATGGGGCTTGGAGCAGCCTGGTCTAGGGGAAGGTGTCCCTGTCCATGGCAGGGGATTGGAAGTGGATGGTCTTTAAGGTCCCTTCCACCCCAAACCATCTGTGATTCTAGTCTGGATCAGCAGCAGCAGGGATGGTACCTACCAGCATGGGCAGGGCTCCGTGCAGTCTCTCCCACTGCTGATTTAGGAGAGACATGAAGTTTCTCTCTGGCCCAAGGCTGTGGTTTTCCTCAGAGCAGCACAGGGACACAATCCTGATGCACAGCACCAGCTGACCTCAGCAGAAGTATTAGCCACCAGTATAAAAGAAAATCTCTGAAATGCTTTTTTAAAAAATGTAGCTGCTGTCACATGTGGGAGACTTCACACGTGAAGCCAAACCAGACTCAAAAAACCTGTCTGAAAAAGTCAAACAGTCAAACTCAGACCTGGCCAAGCAGGACCAGCATTTGTGAAAACAGCAAAAGGACCCCGAGGGAGCTGGGCTTGCTAGCCCCAGCTCAGTGTCACAAATGCCTGTAAAATTATGAGCAACAGAGAGCAGCACTGGAAAAACTGGGCTGCAAGAAATGTCAGAAGTTCTGTGATAAGCTACAGTGTGAAAACAAGCCACAGCAGAATCATTATCTCCTCTGTGGAAACATAAAACAGTATTTCCAGGGCATCTCTAGGAAGGCCTAGAGTTAAGTTTTCCCTATGAGAGAAAAAACCCTGTTCCCTCACTGCTAAACCATGCTTGCTTAGTATGTATCAATTCCACTTTTATCTTTAAAGAAAAACATGCCAAAGTAAGTATATAGAGCTGTTTTACAAAAGAGACGTAGCAACTTCTTAAATAACTAGGAATAGAATTCAACATTTAATAGGACATTGAAGTTTCTCAAGCAGTCAGACATGGAATAATGAAACTCAACAATGTGGAAAAATCCCATTAATATGTCTTTCAAGATATTTTGCTTTTCCAAGTAATTCAAATAAAACGCCTCCTAAAACCTGACCATGAACACAAAGCTATTGAACAAAACAGACATTTACTCTGAATATTTTTCCTAGGTTGTATGAAAATACGTCTAACATACTCAACTGAAAATTGTTTCCATGCTTGCTCATGTGATAAAAGAACAACAAATTCTGAAACTGGCAGTCATGTATCAGCTTTTTGTTAGAAAAGGAAAGACATTTTGCTACTTTGATGGGCAAGACACAAAAAACATCATTTAAGGCCACGTAATATGCCACAGTTAATGTTGTTTAGGTTAATTTGTAACAGAAAATCCTTCAAGTTGCTGAATGCTAAAAAGTATTGAGTTGCATCAAGAGAAAGCTCAAGTCTTAAGGATTGTTTTACCTTGTATTTGAACAGTGGAAGAAGAAAAACAATGTCACAACTCTTCTGTCTTCTTTTTTAAACAACACTTTAGCCTGTTTTCCCAGGCTGCAGAGCAAGGTACAGAAGCCTTCATTACAGTGCACCTAAACCCCACCTGTCCTGGTACAGAATCCAAAAACTCTCCCACGTCACCACCTGAGTGCCTGGGCTGGGCTCAGTGGGCAGAAGGAGAGGCTGATCCCCACTCCTGAGCTCAGCCGTGCCCAGCAGCAGGAGGAGATTCCCGGGGAGCCCCAGGGAACTCTGGGGCTGCAGCCCCACCGGAGCAGCGAGAGCAGGGAGAGGTAGAAGGAAGCAGAAGCTCCAACAGCCCCGGTCAGACCTGCTGTGTGAACAAAGGGTCCCCCTGTCCCACAGGCAGCACGAGGGGTGCCTGTCCTGCATCCTGCCGTGCTGAGTGTGCCCTCAGCCCCAGCCAAACCCAGCTGCTGTCACTGTGTCACTGCAGCGCTGCCTGCCCAGGGCACACAGTGCCTGCTCAGCTGGACATCTGCCTGAGCACCCGGGGCATCCACAGTCACAGAGCTGGCAACGTCAAGAGGAAAAGGCAACAAAACAACTAAAAAACCAAAAATGAACCCCCCCCCCCCCCCCAAAAAAAAAAACAAATTATGAAAGCAATGGAATGTAAAGGAAAAATTTTATAATAACTTATTTAAAGGTATTCTTACAAAGCCTTCCTTACACGGTTTAGTATTCAAAGAATGGTCCCAATGACATCAAATTCCTTCATTTTGTTTTAAAGCAATGAGGAAAATATTTGTTTTACTACCTGAACTCATTTTCCTACCCTTGAAACCTGATATCAAAGAAACATTCATAATACCATTTTTTAGTTTTGATTTTATGCACAGGACTGTTCTTTAGCCCCATGGTAGAGAAAAATTTCCCTCAAAATCAATTAAAGAATCTTGAATTTTAACGTGAGTGCAAGGCTTGGCATACCATTTTAAACAATGCAAACATGTAACACTTCCCCTGATTTGAACTCTGCTATTTCTTCAAAATTATATGAAAAAAAAAATTAACCTTCCAACAGTGTTTATAAAAACTGATTCAAAAAACAAAGCATTTTGGTCACAAAACAGAAACCAAAGTGTTCAGCATAGGGCAATGCAACATTTATAACCTCTTTCAATTAATATCTTCTAATAAAACCAAACTTTTTATGTGCTGGGAATAAATGGGGGTTTTGGCAATTCCATGAACTATATCAAATCCTGAAGAAACACTTTGGGGAAAAACCATGATATAGCAAGGCTTCATTTTCAAAAGGGCTACACAGAATTCCTGCACTATTAAGGACAAACTAAGCTAGAACATTCACAAATGGCTCAGTGGACATGGAGGTGCACGTGGTGCTTACGGAGGGTGGGTCACAATGGCAAAAATCAAAATGTGCTTGGAACGCTGCCTGATCACACACCGAGGATGTGCACTGGGAAGAAAACTGGCACAGATGTTTTTCTTTACAGTTTTTTCCTAGTTCTAGTATTATTTCTGTCGATCCTAAATCTTGTATATTCACCTGACTGTGAGTTACTGAGGACCTAATGCTAATGGGGGTGAGGAATTCAAAAGAGCTTTGCTGACACAACACTGTGGTGACAGGATAGTCAAGAGCAGAGCTCCTATAAATGTAACAAAAAAAAACAAGTAGCCAGTTTTATACAAACTTATTGCAAAGGAACAGAGCAAGGCTAAATTTCACTTAAAAATTCTTACAAGCTGCTTCAAAAACCCATTTCACTTTTACTTGTTTTGAATTTACTTTTTGCACTCCAATCAAATTTCAATTTCTGTTTCATTCATGGGTGTGGTTTTACTCCTTGTTGGGCATTTCTTGCATTATCACAAAGTTCAAATGCTTGGACTCCAAGCATTCCAAAGAAAAGTTTTCCTCTGCATTTTACCTGCCATTGAGAAAATAAAAAAAAATCAAGTAATTTTTTCCAAGTAATAGCTTTTGAAAGATTTCTTTTTAATAAGCCATAAAAATACTAAAGAATTGGGCCTAGATTGCAAGACAATATCCCTTTAAGTCCAGACCTGTACAGCTCTGCAAGATCAAATAACTTCATATGGGATGAAATACAGGAAAAAACAGTATAGAAAAAAATCTACAAAGTCAGATTCCTCCTCTCTGGTACAGGGTGTGCCTTTCCCACCATGCACCACATTTCTTGGTGGAAGGATATTTATGATCATGATGGTTTAAGAACAATTTTAAGAGCACAAA